GCGTTTGACTGCTAATTGATGCTCGTGTAAGAGTAGGTGGAGGGGGCGTCCGCTTTGTTCGATGTAGTGTTTGTCGCAGTTGGTACAATTTATTTTGTAGATGATGTTTGATTTGTTTTCCTTTGTTATTTCATCCTTTGGTTTGCATAGGATTGATTGTAGTGATTTTGTTGGTTTGTATGCCACACCTATCCCGAAGGTTTCCAGCAGTCTCGTTGCGGTTTCTGACATTCCTTGTATGTACGGTAGGGTGATTCTTGTTGATTTTTGTGCTTGAATTGGGTTCTGATGCTGCGTGTCGTTGGTGCTTTTTGATGAAGTTGATTGGGTAGCCGTTCTTTTGAATTATGTCCTTCAGGTATTTCTCTTCATTTTTTCGTGCTGCCAGTGTGTTGCAGTGTGTCCTCGCCCCCTTGAAAAAGTGTGTACACAGTTGATTTTGTGAGCTCTTGGGTTGTTGCTGTTGTAGTTGAGAATTTGATCTGTATGGGTCGGTTTCATATATACTTGAGTTTCTAGTTCTCCTGTGTCAGTTCTAGTGATCAATATATCCAAGAATGCTAGTTGGTTGTTTGACTCCTGTTCCATTGTGAACTTGATGTCATTGAAAACGTTGTTGATCAGTTTGTATGTGTTTTCCAGTTCATTCTTTTTGACGATGACGAAGGTGTTGTCTACGTAGCGAATCCAAATTTTTGGTTTGATCACTGGTAATATAGCGGCTTCTAGTCTTTGCATCACTGCCTCTACGATCAGTCCTGATATTGGTGATCCCATGGGTGTCCCTTTTGTTTGTTCGGAGATTTTGTTGTTGAATTGAAAATATGTTTTTAGGCAGTAGACTTTGAATTTGAAGCTTCGTGCATTTGGTGAGATTTGTGTCGTTGTTGAGTAGCAGGGATATAGTTTCTTTTACTAACTGTAGTTCAATTGAGGTGAACAATGCTGTTACGTCAAAGGATATCATGAGTTCGTCGTTGTTGATTTGAATATCCTTAATTTGGTCCAGGAATTGTGTGCAGGATTTGATGGAGTGGTTGGCTGAATCTACTGGATGTTTCAGTATTCGTGAAATTTCTTTTGACAAATTGTACGTTGGCGTTCCGGGGAGTGCTACTATTGGACGTACTGGAATGTTTGGTTTGTGTATTTTGGGTCTGCCCTAGAATCGAGGGAGTACTGGTCCACTGGATTTTATTTTCCATTGGTCTTGTTTTGTTATTTCTCCTGCTTTGACTAGCTTGTTTAAAGTCTTTGAGATTTGGTTGTCTAATTTTTTGACGGGATTTGTGTCCTTCAGTTTGTATGTGCTCTTATCTTCAAGTAGTTCTTCGGCTTTAGTTTTATATCAATACACGTGGATAACTACGGGCACTCATTCGATTGGGAAAATGTAGAAATCTTAGACAGATGAAACTCCAAAAACAACAGAGAATTTTTAGAAGCCTGGCACTCAGGTCAATCAGCAATCAACAAACATATTGAAATCAATCAGATTTATCAACCAATCAGGAAAATCATGCATAAATATAGGATCAAAAATCAAACCAATGGGAGACACAACCAAAACAAAGAAGTAAACAATGATAAATTTAAGGTCAACAAGAACCAATCAACATCAAGGTGCACAGAACAAGCTGTAAAACACATATGGAGAAATTCGAACACTCCACTTCTATCTGAAGTTTGTGCTGATGATGTCGTTCAGAAGAACGATGAAAGCTCCACGACCAAACCATTCAGCTCAAACAACAAAACTACACCAAAATCATCCACCTGAGCTACAAATCTTCTCCACCATCACAAACTCAAAGAATTATTATAATGTATGGTAAACAAATGGGTAATTAATTAATTTCAGAAGGGATTCCAAGGATAATATAGTAATTTTAATAGTTCAGATCATGAATCAGTTGAAGCTAGACAAACAGGGAAAACCTGGAGGCACTGAACGGCCGTTTCGTCCTATTGTGTGACTCATCAGTGCGCATCCACGATCTCTCTAATCTATTGATATAATCCATTTACAAGGTACAGATTGATATTGTTGGCTTAGAGATGTATTTTTTAGTAGAAGATCTACTATTAAACTATCAGACCGGTTAGAATGAATTAGGTAGTATAGTTTTTGAACATGAAATTTATCGGTTGAAAAGCGAGTGCTTATATTATTAAGACATTGACTTCAAGTAACTATAAGTCTATCCTACAATATAGTCTCTTTTACATTTGTGCTATCTAACCAAATAATATCAAGATTCTCAATATGGTATCAGTATGTGGTAAGACTTACTTTCAACCTATACAAAACCTCTAATTAAACCACAAATAAATAACATTGTATGTCTCTAGTGATTACCTTTGAAATACATTTTCTTGTAGAATCAAAATAGAGTTATGTAATGATAATAACAATGATAATGGATCGTTGAATTCTAACTTAGTAGATCAGTGTTATCATGATAACAAACTAGATTTGATATAGATCCTTAACTCTATTTAATTTGCTTTATTTGGGGAGACTAAAACAAGTATCCATTGCTATTTGATCTCATTTTGTTATTTCACAATCATTAGTTCATGATTAAAACTGTTTCTTGTTTATTATTGTTTGCTAAAATGTTGATTAAAGTAAGGGGGGAAAAACGTTTAGTGATTGTCTAATCTGTGATGAAACGTCCGTCCAGTGGTCGTAGGTTTTTTATGGTAGTTGAGTTTCAATTGACTCATGATCTCAACTATTGCAATCTCATTGTCTATCAAACATTCACTCAAAACCATAACTATTGCTTATTCATTATTGTGTTAAACTAGTGTAAATGTTAATGAATAATACACGTTAGATATAAATCAAAAATATGTTGCATTATTAGCTAACAAAGTATATTGTAAATAATGAAATTTTGGTTATTTGGGTTGAGGAAGCTGTGTACATAAGCTTCATGGTAAGTGAAGCATCTGCAACATGGATAGAAATGATGTTTCTGGTGAGATTTGAATCCGTCCAAACTATTGATTTCCGTCATACTTCGTGAATTGTTCAAAACCCGAGAAAGATTGGCTCGTGAGGAACAGTCTGGTTTGCGTTCTGGTCGAGGATGTATTAATCACATTTTCACTCTGCGCCAAATGCTAGAACACTGTCATAATTGCACTGATCAACAATCGTAGTGTTTCTTGACATTATGGCCGCCTTCGATTCGTTGAACAGGACTGTCCTCTGGGATTGTATATTGAAGAAGGATGTGGCTGAAAGTTTATTAACATCTTAAAAGCCTTAAATAGAAACACCTCAGACAGAGTCAGGACATACAACCACCTCTCTCCATTGTTCCATTCAAGCAGTGTAGTTCGGTAGGGTTACACAATCTCACCGTTGCTCTTTAACTTTGCTATAGATGACGTTCTGCAAACAGCTGCGATGGATGTAGGTAATGGTGGCGTGGATGTGTTCCCCGGGGAAAGGCCTTTCGACCTTGAGTATGCGGATGATATTGTCTTACTGTGCGATAATGCCCAAGCTATGTAATCCGCACTTAGTCAGTTGGCAATCACTGTCCGTAGGTATGAAATGTGTTTTGCACCTTCGAAATGCAAAGTACTTTTACGAGACTAGGAATACCTTGATCCTACACTCACCCTAGTTGGTGGGCAGATAGAAGTAATCGAGAAGTTCGTGTGTCTAGGTAGTAGCGTAAGTGCCGCTGGTGGCGTGAGTGGTGAGATCAATGCATGCATAATGGAAACCAGAGTGACTTATTCCAATTTGGATCATCTTTGGAGCCTTTGCGATGTCAGTCTGGATGTAAAAAGTCGGATCTATAACGTATCGGTGAGAGCAGTTTTACTCTATGCTTTTGAAACCTGATCTCTCTGAATTGAGAATGTTGGACAACTCTTTGTGTCTGATAATCGTTATCACTGAAGGATTGCTGACATCTAGTGACAACACCATGTTAATAATGCAGAGGTTTGGCATCGTGTGTTCGGACACAGAGACGATAATGCAATTGGTGTCACCATCTTGAAACATCGACTTCAGTGACTTGGATATGTTCTACGAATGCCGTCCCAGAGAATTCCACGTCGTGCGTTATTTGCCGACGCTGAGACTGGTTGGGAAAAGTGGAGATGTGGTCAGTGTATGAAATGGTATCATGGTAAGAAAGAAAGTTGTGTAGGATTGGTTTTCGTTTGACTCCCTGGTTGAGGTCCTAGAGATGGTGAAACTTAGTGGCTAGAAACATTATCAGACATGGCTAAGAATAGAAACCAGTGATGATCTTTCTGTAACTTTCTTTTTTCTTTCTTCATGAAAAATGAATGTAACTTCTTTAAATGAAATAATTCTTTTTGGTTGTATTTTCGTTAACTGAACTACCTCTCTCATTATTATTATTATTATTTCACTGTTATACACTTATTACTATTCTCCTTTTCCTTATACTCAGTTTACATTCTCTATCTCTTCATAGCTTCATTATTATTGTATGGTGCATATGTAATTAGTGCTCCCTTTTACCAATATTTGTGTGTTCAAAGAAATAATTCACTGTTATTCTTAATCGTTCAATCCACTGCTGATCTCTTGACTGGATGATAGTCTTTCATAGTTCATTGAGTTCATTAATTTCAGCTTAAATTCAAATGCGTTTTATTCACAAGGCTCAAGACATTGGAAACCGTTATACAGAACTGTTTTACGATTTCCTTCAATCGCTTAACACATACACACACACACACACAGAAAACACTAGTGTTAGTAATGTCCAGTTATTTAGACTAGTGATTATTTCTAAAGTTAGTCAATAGTAGTCTGTTAGGAATAATATTGGTTACTAAACAGTTTAAGTTCTATATTTGTTTATGACATAAATCAATTATCTAATGCACTTTCTTAATACATGAATGTTATCATGTTTATAAGAATCAATATATAGTTGACATTATGACAAAATGATTGTCTATTTAAAAGATAATCTATATGTTCTTATGAATTGAATAGATTGAAATAGACTGATATTCATATTGAATAAGAATAACTTAACTATGAGTAGAATAAATCACTAGAAATAAACAATAAGTATGATGAATAATGATATTGATTGATCACCAAATTGAATGATTATTACTGTGCTGAAATACACGATGCCGAAGCTTCTCATTACTAACATGGTATTACGATTGCATATCACCAATGCTTCAATGACAACGATAATCAAACACAAACACACACACACAAAACAAACAAACAAACAAAGAGTTGTGTAATATTCTCAACTGAGAGAAATCCGGTTTCATAAGGATAGAGCAAAACCGTTCTCAACGACGCATTGTAGATCTGATCTAGACTAATATCGTAAAAGTTAAATAACAAACCCAAAAAATAACTCGCCCTATTCATCATTAAAAATTGAATTTATATAAAAAGTATAAAATTGAAACTGAAAGGTAAGAAAAGGAAACTATACACAATGTATAGATAAGATAAGATAATCACTGCATAAAATAAAAAAAATAATAATGTTAATAATAAATCATTGTTTAAATGAAGATCAAACCTCCATTAGGAGTAAAAAGCGCAAGTCAGTCAGTCAGTTAGTCAGTCAGTCAGTAAGTAAGTAAGTAAGTAAGTAAGTAAGTAAGTAAGTAAGTAAGTAAGTAAGTAAGTAAGTAAGTAAGTAAGCAAGTAAGTAAATAAGTAAGTAAGTAAATGAAGATCAAACAGATTAGAATTAAAGTATATGAAAGTCATTATGAAAAAAAATATTTGTCAACATTCATGATCATGATCACAATCATCATGATCATCATCATCATCATCACCATATCGAATTGATCAAACAGATATATTGATTCGTAAAATGAAAATCTATCCATAGAATATTCATATGAACATATTACATAATATTGAAATTTATAATAATTCATTATTGTATTAAAAGAGAGAGAAAAAAAGAAGATGGTATCTTTATTTCATTAAATATTAGTTCCTCTTCTTTTCTCTTTTTTTCTTTTCTTTTTTTGTTTTTGTTTTCTGAACTTTAAAAGAAAATGATTATTTTTTTGTTTAAATAATAATTTAACTTTTGAACATCTATTTTATTTATTTAAAATATAATCTGTTCAACTTTTCTTTTCTTTTTTTGTTTTTTTTTAAAAAAAAGAAAAGAAACAAAAAGAAAAGAAGGAGAAATACAATTCAATTTATTATGATCTATTATTAAAAATGATAAAGAAACAAAAACAAAAACAACAAAGAAATTGGAATGTCAAAAGATTATTTCAAAGTTTTCTTTCTTCTTTTTTTCTTTTTCTTTTTGAAGAAAATTCGTAAGACTGTCATTTATGGTTAATGTTTGAGTGATGTCAGACTAATCGTATGACTGTCCATTTAATAATTAGAATCATGTGTGAACATGTGTAAAGGAATTGAATGATCATTTACAGATAATGATTAAAGGTTAACAATTAGATTTCGGGAGTTTTTCTTCTCATAAAGTAACATCAAAAATTTTCTATTTTTAATCAAATTGGATAAATAAAATTTCGCGCCTAAAATCCCAAAACTTGTCATCGAATATTTGATTGGTTCATTCATAAATTATAATTTTGCCAGACAAAAAATTCAATCATTTTTACTAATATTTTCAATGTTCAATATTTAATATTCAATATTCAATGTTATTATTATGATTGTTTAAATAAGCAACATAAATGATATAATAATAATAATAATAGATTGCCTTCTTGTTACAATATTATTAAAGTACATTATGGAACATGTATTGTATGTATATATGATGTAATATTATTTCATTTATGTATAAATCAATCTTTATATTTCACATAATGATAATGGAAATGATGATCATCATCATGATCATGATGATAAATAATGTTTAATATAATCATTATTATTTATGAATATCAGTAGTATTATTCATGATTTATTAGTAGTATAAAAAGTTGACTATAAAATAAGTAACAAAAGAATTTTGAATAAATGCAAATAAATTATTGTTTGTTTACTTATTTGTTTGTTTGTTTGTTTATGAGTGTGTGTGAGTGAATGTGAGTGAGTGTGCGTGGATGGTTACGTCATTATTTTTCTATACGATTAATTGAATTTGGAATCTGTAGAAAAAAACACACTTTGTTTGTTTGATAAAGTAAATGATCAATGAAAAAAAAATAGAGAAAAGTTTTAGTAAATTAAAAAGAAAACAAACAAACAAATAGTGATTGTTTTATTTTTACAAAAAAAGAGTCCTTCCAATAATGTTTAGGACTGTAATTGATCAATCTCTTGTTGGCATATGTGTATCCTGTATGGATTGTCTCTATAATGCCTTAATTCACAAGCATTATAAGGAAAGATGAATAGTGGCTAGCAGTGGAATCTAGGATGTGAGACTGGATGTATCTGAATTCCAGAGTTGATGTTCACTTTTGAATTGTAACCTCTTGCCGTTCAGTTCAAACGCCATCACGTTATTCACTTAGCTATTGAGTCCTAATAGTCATGTAAACAATACCAAGTGAATTTCAACTTCACTCCATTGCATAAACGAGTAGCTATCAGGAATCAGTAGCTAAATGGATAAGGTGATGGCGTCTGAAGTGAATGGTACTGGGTTTGAGTTCAAGAATGAACATCAACTCTAAGATGCAGGTATATCCAGCTGACGAGTTTCAAAATAAAACGAAATGGCGCAAGTCCTGGATCACACTGCTAACCATTAACTATCTTTGCTTGGGAGGAATGTATTTGTAAAATCTTAATAATTGCATATGAAGTAAATTCAATGTTTCACTTGACAGTTTGATCCAACGTTTTTCAAGGAAATATAATCAAACACTAATAATTCAATCATTTTGATATTTGAACTAACCTTTTTTCTTATTTGATTATATTTCGTTGATAAACTATAGAATAGATTGTCATGTGAAATGTTGGATTTACTTCATATTCAATCACTAAGATTTTACAAATACATTCATCTACCTTAATGTTTTATATGATTTCAGCAGTTAAACATTGATTCAAATTTAGAACGAAAATTATGTAATAACGAAAGAAAAAGAATATTACTAGTATAGGGGTTGTGGAGATTATTAAGTTTTTGATTGAGATCATGAACCGATTGATGTTAGACCACCACCTTTGGAAACCTGGAAGCACTGGACGGCCGTTTCCTTCTATTGCGGGAGTCCTCAGCAGTGCACATCCACGATCCCACTCGCGGGATTCGAACCCAGGGCCTTCGGTCTCGTGCGCGTCAATCAACATGTGCTCACTACTGACTAGCTTCGTGAGGGAATTCTCGGAGTTCTAGTGAGAAGCCGTGACCAGTGGAGCTAATCCATGTCGGGTAGAGACAGGTATCTACCTCAGTACAACGGAAGTTGGTCGCGAGATTTCGTGGATTGGTTGATGTTAGACACTATCACCATTGGATGCCGGCTCAGTGGTCCAGTTGGTTAAGCGTGTAAAACCCAGTAATGGAGCCAACGATTTAATAGACATCACCCTACATGATTGAGAAAGCTTCTAATCAAAACAATGTCCAGCTTTGTTCTATCACTTTTGGTCGATAGCAGTAATGTAATAGATGGAAATAGGTCAGTTAAAGTCATTTGTAGTATGTCCACTACTTTTCATTATGTGGTTCAATCTCATCTATTTGATATAGAAGAAATTATTTAGATTTGAATTCATTATTATTTTTCATAACTCCGCTTGGAACCCCTCTAAGGTTACTACTTTCAGTCCCAAGGCCAGATAAAGGAGGAGGATTGAGCATAGGGTTAGCAACTTCATCCTATAGATCACTAACTCGCTAAAAAACACCAACCCATTCTTTTTCATATTCGGCGAGATTCTAATTTATGGACGACCTTTGAACGAATCTTAAGTGTCCTTGAGAAATAGTCAGTATAGAGTAAAATTATGTTACACAATACCAAGGAAATAAATTGGATACACTTCTTATACGTGGTTCAAAAACTTGTCAAGGTTAGAAAGAGGTTCAGAGGTTCTAAAATGGTGATGTATGCAATAGAGAAAATCATCCATACACCTACAGAATAGTCGGCCTTTGGAGTCATGATAAAGTCTCAAAAACTCTTTCAGCCTCGATCACATAACATCAATATTGTTTGTGTGCACTCCGGTTGTTGAGTGCACAAAATGCTACTTATGGATAACGACACGATGCACATAATCAAGTCTATGTAGGAGTCTGTACACTCTCCAATTATCCTTATATATTGTTGTATCTGGCTGCAGCCAGTTTTACGGGTACTTTTATTATCCAGTTCTCAATAATTGTCATAATTTGCTTTAGTTAGCAATTACTTGTCGGTTTTTCATCACGAACTGACATCATCTATAATGCCAGAAATCTATTTAGTCAAATGGATGAAAGGCTTTCATGCCAAAATCCGAGATCTATTATCTTATACCTGATTGATTTGTCCACAAATTATAGTCTCGCCATTTTATTTGTTATAGCCGCTCAATTATCACGTTTTGTACAAAATTCCTTGTGAACCCATCGTACGTTAGCATTAAGCACTGAAGTTGATGCCTTAACCTTGAAATCTCTAAAACGCTTCTGATTGGCACGTCCACAAATTAGTCCCGCCTCATATTCTTTATCCATCTATTTTTCAAAGAGATTCTTCATTATTTAATTAGTTAAATATTTCTTATTGTATAGTTTCAAAATAATCTTTTAATGAAAGCTATTTCAATGTCTGGTCTTTTATGTTGTTGACCTACTTTCTATGATGAAACGTTCATTCAAGCCTTTATTATTATTATTATTATTATTACCATTATCATTATTGTCATAATCAGTATATCAGTCATCATATTAACAATTTGTACTTCTTACTTATAATATCTAGTTATGTAATCTATTTCATTGTTACAATTTACTTATAAACTACTTTGATTGATTAAATAAATACCATAGTAAAACTTAATAAAAATCTAATTAGAAACAATATAATTAGAAGGGGGGGTTATGGAGACTTTAGTAAATTTATAGTTGAATTTATGAGTCCATTGAAACTAGACCATCATGAAAAATCTAGAAGTACTGAACGGCTTTTTCATCCTAGTATGGGACTCGTCAACAGTGCTCATCCACAATCCGACCTGCTGTGAGATAGCTGATGAAATGATGGACGATGGCTCAATTTCATGGATTGATTGAAGTTAGACATTAACACCGTTGAATACCAGCAGGCTCAGTGGTCTAGAAGTTTAGCAACCACGCACGAGACTGATCGGTCCTGGGTTCGAATCTGGTAAGGCGGGATGGTGAATGAGCATTGCCAAGGAGGAGTCCCAAAATAGGACGACACCGTTGTCCAATGCTTCCAAATTTTCCATTTATTATTTATTTATTTTAACACATAGATATTGGTACAAGGAGGCACCAAATACATATGCACTACACAGATCTCATTTGATATTTGTGAGGGCTATGTTACTGCCCGGGTGCCCGAACCGGAGCAGGTAGTTTTTTTAGAGTGCCACACCTGGAGCCTTCGACCTGAAGGTCTGATCCACAAGGCAGTGGAGCATCGTAAGGAGATGCAGTCCCATGGAAGCCGGTGACCAACGATTGGTTCATACGTCATTTGTTTCTTCAGGATCCTGGAGCCCATGTGCATCATTAGTTTGGGATCAGGGTTTTCCAACGCCTCTAGGTGGACTCTCCATGTACACCGACTCGGTTAAAAAGCCAGATATTTGCTTTTCGTCTTCTCAATTTTGTAAGCAACACCCGTGGTGCGAGAAGGTAGCAAGTAGGACTTCCCTAGCAGAGGCCTAACTTCAGTTGACTCATGATTTCAACTATTAAAATTACTATTAATATTCACAAAAACCCGTCTCTGATTATAAACTTATCATACATTGAATATACCAAATCAATGGTTATTAACACTTACCTGACTTGATTATTTCACTGGAATACTTTTTATAATTATGTAATCATTAGTTATTTTTGTTAATTAAATTAAACATGAATCTGATTCATCATCTAAAGTATAAAAAGAAATTTATAAACAAAAAAGTGTTTCCTTATAAAACTAATCATCGTTAAGATAGAAAAAAAAAGAAAAAGAAAAGAAAAGAAAAAAAAAGAAAAGATGAACCATTCATAGACATATGAACTAATCCTTATATTTCTAGTTCAAGATGTTTTGTATACACTCTCTTTGTTTTCCCTTAAACTAAGAGATTAAAATCACTTCATATCTTTCTTCCTATGGATTAATTCTTTCTTCCTGTACTATATGCTTATATACAATCTTTCACTTATATATTACCATCATTGAATTAACCACTTCTATGAATTCGGTATTAATGAGGTATGGCAACTTGGACCGATGCATAGATGTGCCTGGTTCTACATCGTAGATGAATAACTGACTGACTGTAGAGATTATTTAATTTTATTGTCTATATGAAAGATATTGAAATGAAATTGGATTGAACAACTGGCTCATGGATTCACAACTTACATTATCGATATGATTGAACACAACTGAGAATTGTATTGAGTGTTAACTATTTAGACTATGAAGTGATGATTTACTGGTTCTTTATTCTAATTTGAGTGAATCCATGATGTTTTTAAATCATTTTCTAATATAATTGATGTGTAACTACCTCAACTTGAATGTAATTGAACACCAATAGTTTTCACTGATTGTTTAACTACAATCAAGGGGTGATATGAATATTATATTTTTATCTAAGCATCATACATAAATATCAAGACATTTCTATCATATGGGGGGGAATTTGAAGAACTACCAAAGACAAGTGTTTATCAACAGTTGTTTAAGCAAAAACTTCGGATCAATTTTGTCAGACACTAACAGCAACAACCAACTATGGAAGAGAAAAAAACAGATTCCAGAGGACGAAGAAATCAGCAAGAAGCTCTGGAAGTGGATAGGACACACATTGAGGAAAGCATCCAAGTGCGTCACAATATAAGTCCTCACTTGAAATTCTCAAAGACAAAGGAAAAGAGGAAGACCAAAGAACACATTACGACGAGAAGTGGGGACAGACATGAGAAGAATGAATAACACCTGGAAGTAGCTGGAAAGGATCGCCCAGGACAGGGTTGGATGGAGAATGCTGGTGAGCGGCCTATGCTCCTCCACGAGGAGTAACAGGCGTAAGTAAGTAGGTAAGTATTGATATGGTCTTCTAATTGATGCGCTAGATTCAGTTTCCTAAGCTCTTCTTGTAAGCCCTGAGGTTAGATCTACGCAGCTAATTAAACACGAGAAAATAGGGCACAAAATATGGAAGAAAACGCTTTATTCCGACGGTTCGTCTATGTACAGAAAATCTAGGGGTTTTATTATATATTAGATGGCCATGGGTTTCCGGAAAATTCTAAAACGCTACTGAACATAGTAGCAGTATAAGTAATCATCCAATCTTTTTGATGGAATTTTGTTTTCTGAGCTGGAATTTTTTGGTCATGGAGCTTTCATAGTTCTTCTGAACAATGACAGGCTTAAGGTCAACAATGACCAATGGACAACGAGGTCTATAAAACAAACTGTGAACCACATGTGGAAAAATTCGAACACTTCACTTCTATTGTGAAAATTAGAACAACACATATAACTCGAGTTATCTATCGTATACCTCCATCATTTCCCTACGGAGTCCGTTCCCGTCTCCTATATATAGCTGAAGCCATTGGAATTCGTACATATAACCCCAATTTATGTGTACAGAAGAAATACGTGACCCCCTATCCCTTCCATGGCCAGTTATAACTTAATGAACAATTCTTTTTTTAATAATTTTATTATTATCATTATTTATTTTATTCTATTTTGTTATCATTAACCTTATTTCCACATCCATTATTTGTAATTTTCCGCCTCTTTGTATTCTTCACTATCTGATTATTTACACACATCTTATTACGTAATGATTTTAATGTTTTGGTGTTGACTATTCCTACCCACGTTTGTTTGACTTTCTATTTCCAACGTTTAATTATTGATAAGAGTTTTGTTATTGTATTTTATTATTCTCACTATTATCAGTTCACCTGTCTTCCTACTATCAACTTGTACTTTTACCTATTATGTGTGAAGACTTATTCTATTTCATTGTGATTATTGACTCATATTGTTTTGCATGGTTTAACATTTATGTATATTAAAGTAAAGCCTGATGACGATCTAATTGAAAACAATATTGTTCGGTTATATGTGTTATTCTAACTTCACTTCTAACCGAAGTTTTGGCTGGTATTGATGTCGTTCAAAAGAAAGATGAAAGTTATACAACCAAACCAATCCAGGTCAGAGAACAAAACTCCATCATTCACCTGAGCAACAAATCTTCACCACTGTATCAATCATCCAATCAGAAACACGATATATTATTTTTCACTTTCTAAATGTTTCTGGCAACACTTCTATTGAATGCTGACTGGATAAGATGTTTCTGAGCGTTTCCAAAGCCTTTTTTAGGCTTTATTTCGAGGAAGTTACTGGATCTTCCCAAAAGTGTTATATATTTAAACGGGATTTTTGATTCGTTGATAGATATTTAGGTAATCAGTAAATGCTTTTATTTTTTAAAATCAATTTTTGCGAGACTTGGTGATTAGTTGGATGAGAAAAAGTTTTAAGATTTGGCAACTTTTATATTCTAAATATTTTCTTAATATCTACCAATTTGAATGAATTTTTGTAAGTTTATCAAATGATACATATTTCTGACATGAGGAGTTGTCAGTCAGTCAGTCAGCTACAACGTAGGACCAGGCACATATATGCATCGGTCCAAGTTGCCATACCACATTAACACAACAACATGAACACCAGATTCATAAAAGTAGTTAATTCAGAGGTGGTAATATATAAAAGGAAGATTGCATATAAGGACATAATACAGGAAGAAAGAATTATTTCATAGAAAGAAAGGCACAAAGCAATTTAAATATCACAGTTTAGGGGAAGATAGAGAGTGTATACACCGACGCCATTGTGATCAATTCTGAGCCATGTCACCCACAGTCTACAACCATTGGTTACGATAGCCACGCGGACCCCAACCACGTAGTCTGCATCTCCCAACATGGCTCAGACTAGAAGTTAGTGACTTCAAGCACTGATGCCACGTTTCGGTTTGGCCGCCCCTAACTTTCTTCCAACAATCTCCAACATCGATGTTGTAAATATTAACCACTGGATACTGAATCATTAAATGTAAAGTTAGACCTCAGTGTTTTGGTCTCAATCCCTGAATGAAAGAAAAGCTTTGGATACATATTGATGACAACTAGGGAATAAGAATAACTCAACTATGCTACACTTTCTAGTTGCTTATAAGCAACGAGAATCAAAGTTCACATTCTTAATTTATGGTACTTACCATCAATTTCATGACCATTTATTTTCAAGTTATTATTGATTGGAGCTTTCTGTACTGTAGAGGCTTCGATATCATTACAAGACTGAAATATATAAACATTTAATTAAAGAGAAACGAATATAATTCGATAAATAACACGGCATAGAAACGTGTAATAAAAACTTTCGAATTCTATTGATCAAGTTCCAATGTAAACATTGGCCCTTCTGGGACTACTTCCAGTCCCAAACCCGGATAAAGGAGGAGGGTTTGGGCATGGGGTTAGCGACCCCATCCCGTAGAAAACTAATTCGCTGAAAAAATGCTAACCAGGAAAAATGACTTAAACCATTTAAACTCTGCCCTGGAAGTTAGATCTTCCTTTAGAACAGTCATGATATCTCATGTTGAAAGCCGAGTTCCTTCGGAAGTCACGAGGTTGATGCCCCTTCTGACAATCAGATTAATTATTAATTTAACTAAATGGAATGGTCGTACAATGTAGGAGATCGGCGGAGTCTTTCAGATTGCTGCTGCCCAAAGTTCTGTCGAAAAGTTGTGAAATTCAACCATGTTAAGAATAGAATAGTCATTCATATTCATTCATCACTAATGATAGATAAGTTGGAAACATTAACAATCGAGTTACACTTTAACAGTTGAGATCATCAGTAAATTGAAGCTAGACTACCATGGAAAACCTGGAAGCATTGGACGACCGTTTCGTCCTACCGTGGGATTCCTCATCAGTGCGCATCCACGAACCAGGCCTCACGAGATTCAGTGGTCTAAATCTAATATGACCAGTGGTACAATTGGACCTCATGAATTCGGTATTTGTTTAGGTTGTTTGTGTACATTATAATTGAATTATCTTCTGAGATAAAATAGATATTCAATAGCTGTTTAATATACATTAATTTTAACATATTTGCAAATTGAAAAGATAGAATTATTTACTGAAGTGAACAGTAAATCGTTTAAATGACAAAAATTACAAGGAAATGGTCTTAGAAACGTTCTTAAATGTAATTGAATGCATAAATCATTTCAATTATCTTAGAAGTCTCATCAGTCTGCCAGATTGAAGTTTTAAAACAATTTTGGTAAGTGTTCAAATAACTTTTTTTTGGCTTTTTTCCCCGACTTATTTCATGTATAATGTAGACAAGATTTTCATTACCCATTAAAAGATTGGTATCAGTCAGTTAGCTACAACGGAATTGGAGAGGTAAATTATGGTTACTGTGGTCTTGAATGCTGTTAGAGATATGAGGGCGGTTATCACTTCTCGGTTGCCAACACAGTGGAAGAGTTATTCTGGAGGTACTTGAAAAAGAAATTGGAATAGAGTCAGTCTTAGTGACCCGAAAGCGTGACTGCAGTACCCAAAGGACAACTGTTTGAGGCCGGTCACACACGATCAATCTGCAGGTAATTCTCATGTTGGCTACGTACTTGTTGAAATCTGACCACCACAGACGGAAATCCGGTTGATAAAGTAAAGTGTGTATTTGAAAGGGTCGACCTTTTACAATCACACACTTCCTCTAGGGGAATGCAGCATCGCTATCATACTGGTTGTTAGAGAAAAACACCTTACTGCCGTCAGACTTCCGTACATTCGGCAGTACAAGTTTGCCCTCGGACCTTGGGTTTGCTGCTTATAGTCTTACCGTTCTTCAACCGACCTGTCTGGCATAATAGGAGCTTGACGAACGATTGTTTTAGCCAGTATAGCCCGACTGGTTGATTACGACAGGCAAGTTGGACCTCCACGTCAAGGTAGCAACAGTGGTCAGCAAAAGACGAATATATTGTGGAATGATTCGTCCTATTCTACTTTATGACTGAGAGACATGGCCTTTAGAAATAGAAAATATTATTAGGTGATTGATATTCAATCATAGGTGATTTCGAATCATTTATTCGTAGCGTATACTAGGATGATCAAGTGAGCAGTGTTAGGATCAGACAAACAGTAAAAAGTAAAGGTGGCAAATAAATTGAGAATGTTGAGGAATCTTCATCAGTTGAAGTGGTTAGGACATTCATTATATGTACCCAATCATTGCATACTTCTAATACTTTTACTAATCTTCGTAATTTCATCGCATTAGTCTGATTCATATATGAATCAGTATGACTGAGATTTCACCGAAGTAATAAATTCAATAACACACAAATCATATATCAATTACCATGTTGTCAACAACTTTGTGAATATCAGCAAACTGGAAATATGTCATTTATCAGTTATTATATTTTTATACCCTGATTAGATTCACTTTGTATGGAATATCCAGTAGGTGGTATCGCTTAATTTGATTGGTATATGGTAGAAAATAACTTTAGAGCTTAATATATATCAAATGAGAAGTATAATGCTTAGCAGTTCTTTCTGAATAATTAATTTTCAAAGTTATTGGATGTTATATCCCAATGAGAATAATGAATGGCAACTTTTGGGATCCATTTATGAACCAATACTTTGCGTAGATTTCTATCGTATAATTGTTAAATAATTAAACTAATCATATTCATGTCCCCATTATTGTAAGCTTCATTTTGACCTATAGACTATTATTATTATATGACTTGCCATTCTTGAGTTATGCCCAGTCTATCAATCACTATCTCCCACATTCACGGCCACTTCCGGTTAGAATTTTACAAATGTTGTTTCCTATTTCATGCGACGATGTGGTCTGTTCGGTTCGTATATAAACCCAGTATGTTTGAAATAAATGATTCATATTGCAGAGGCTGAGATTGGTGTTCTGGACTTGATAGACAAGGCTAGGCAGAAAACAGGATCAGCAAAGAATCCATACTGTTCTTACGGGTTTTATACATCATTGATCCGGTCGATAAATCACCGTTCTCTAATGGACGGTATCATTACGTCATACATTAATAGGACACAGGGCATAAGTTATAACATTAGACACGTATCAGTTGTAAGTATTTGATCATAGATGCCGTTGAAAAATTCTGTAAAAGTCATTCTAACGTTACATTTAAGATCATGTTCATGATGAAAATTAATTGAACTGTGAAATATTAACAGCTTTAAAGAATATAATTTGATAAACCACGATGTTGATGAAAAAAATTTCCAGTAAATTCCAATTGGAACAATGTATTTAGGAAATGAGCATTCTATACCTTTAACATTCCTTTGCTGTACTTTCAATGAAAAACACTTACTGTGATGTGAGCTACTTATATCTACATAAGTAATATATAACCATAGTCAGGAATAGAATGTAGAAGATCGAGAAGGAAAAGAACAAGAACAGAAAGTAATTGATATGAAAACGCAGAAACACTGAAATCTGAGACGATTGATTGGTATCTTTCAAATGAAATATTTACTGTATGGTTCATAGATTTTAGTATAATATTCTGTAATTTATGTTCAAATGCATTCGACTACCCCCAGCCCTCAATTGTATTTTCGTTCACTTCATTACTAGTTTATTTTATTTCATTTTGATTCATATGATCTAAACGCTTAGTTAGTAAATGGAATATGGGTGATAATTAACATAATTGACAAACAGTATCTATTCGATAGATTTATGTTGATGATTAGGTTGAAAGTTTGTTGATCATTTTCCTGATTCAACTGATCTCAGTATTCAATTCAGTATGATTTCATCATAGAAACTAAGATTATACTAAATCTTATAAAATGATTTCAAGAGGTTTATTGAACTCTTATGACAAAAAAAGTGATTAAGATTAACTAGATTGAGTAATGTTAATTCATCAAAATATAATTCTACATTATATCCATTTTATTTAATGAATTAAATCTCAAGAGGTTAGATCGTAGATGGACACTGCTGATGAGCCCAACAGTAGGACGAAACGGTCGTCCAGTTCTTCTACGTTTTTCATGATGGGCTACTAGCAATCGATTCATGATCTCAATCAAAAACTTAATAATCTTCACAACCCTATATTGACTTTTGATTAATTATTTTAACATTTTACAAATGATATAGATTATCTTGAGATTTCATTTATTTTTTATTATTTGGTTCATAATATTTTGATTATGAAGAGGTTCTTATGTTAATTGTATTATTTGCCTTATGGTCGATGTTTACTTTGACTGTTTATCGCCTCATTTTATTTCATTTTAGTCAGCTACAATGTAGGACCAGGTACTTACATACATCGGTCCATGATGCCACATCACATTAGCAAAACAAGATAAACAAATTCAAAGAACTAGTTACTTCAGTGGTAGTAATATATATAAAAGGAAGATTGTGTATAATGATGTCATATGGGGAGAAATAATCAGTTCATAGAAGGGAAAACAAAGTGTATTCACCGGCAGCATTGTGACCAATTCTGAGCCATGTCACCCACAGTCTACAACCATTGGTTAAAATAGTCACGTGGACCCCAACAAAGTAGTCTGCATCTACCAACATGGCTCAGACTAGAAGTTAGTGACTTTAAACACTGATGTCAAGGTTTTTGTTTGACTGTCCCAAAATTTCTTCCAGCCGTCTCCAACACTAGTCAACATTGCTTTTAGTTCATCTAAATTGTCTTGAATAGCCTACTAGATGAATTTTCAAATTGAAATTGATGTGGTTAGTTGTTCTGAAATATTCATGTGAGGCCATATTGGATATATATAGGTCTGAATATGTTGAACAAATATTCCCTGTAATATATACTGGTTATTACTAGAGTTTAATAGTTTCCGTTACTGATTTACAATGAATATGCTTCAGTGCAATCCAATGTATATATGAATGTAGGAGTGTTATAAGAAGTGATCATTGACTTCTTTCCTGAAATATATGTGATGTAAATTCATTTGGAATTGTCTACTTGAATCTTCCCCTTGATCAGTCTCTTATTGGCATTTATAAATACAGCTCGTATTGCCTCGATGTTGCCTTAATTAACAATCATTATAAACAAAGATAGTGGCCAGCAGTGGAATGTAGGCACATCCAGCTGACGAGTCCAAAACAGGACAAAACGAGCGTCCTTCCATTACTATCCACTACCCATTTTCTCTACTATCTGATCTAGTTTTTAAACGAAGGAAATGTGCGATTTTTATTCCTGAGTACTAGGGGTTGTAATAAACTTAAAGATATAGAAATCCAGATAAACTATTCTTGATTTTACGATGACATCCCCATTCTTTTTAAATCTAATTTCTTCATTAACAAATAGTGTACAGTGTTAAATTTACTAAGATAATAGGTGTAATCGATACTGAATTCAGTGTTTCAAAAAGAGGACCATCACTGGTTTGACATTCAGGGTGAATCCCAAAACTGGCTACAATAGGATGAAACGGCTGTCAAGTGCTTCCAGATTAGCCATGGTGTTCTAGCTTCAATTGACTAATGATCTCAACCATTGAAATTACTATAATGTCCACAAAACCATTTCTGATACTAATCAACATATGACCACTAGTGAAGGTCTCCAAAAGGTATATCCTGAAGTTCTAGTGAGCAGTGGAGTTCAGCTGGGTCTTTTGTGAGATAGTAACTCACTGATGACAATGGTGGATGTGTCGCTCAATTTCGTGGATTAGTTGAAGTTAGACATTATGCATTGGTTCAAGTTGCCATATTGCATTAGCACAGCAAGATGAACACCAGCTTAAATATTGTAACAAATATTGATTTAATTTTGATAGAGTTTTATTCTTTGAACTGGATAGTTTGGTCATGGGGCTTTCATCGTTCTTCGGAACAACATCATCAGCATATTGAATTTGGATTAAAGTAAACTATCTTTCCGAATTACAGTTAGCTATTCAGATTAATTTTTCTGATGTATTTTGATAGACGCAGTTTTTCTGTTCCTTGGGCAAGACTATAATATATGGACAAACTAATCTAAAGGATTTGAGTGGTTTCAAAGGTCAGAGTGCCAATTTCAGTACTTGATGCTCATGTACAATCGGTTCATAGTGGATTTTTAGAGAAAATATGATAATTGAGCGGCTACGATAAATGGAACTACTAAAAAGTTCCTTTATTTGTGATTGTGGTAATCAAATGACTTGTGGACCTTGTGCAGTCTACTGTAATAATGTTGTCTTTCGATGTAATATATGTTGGAGGAAGAAGTCTGCTAGAATAGAGATATATATGCGTAATAAAAATGACAAGCTTACACCACCAAAGTGCACACAAACAATATTGAAGCTATGTGGTCGAAACTCAAAGAGTTTTTGCCACCTTATTGTGGCTTCAGAGGCTGACTATTATAAAGGCATATGGATGAATTCCACTACCGTATGCATTAGGATTTTAGGACCTTTGAACCTCTTTTTAACCTTGACAAGTTTTTGAATCCTTTGAAAGAAGTGTATCCAATTTAACTAGTTTTTCATAATACATTTTTCCTCTATATTAACTGTTTCCTTATTGACTGATATTCCTTAAGGTCAAAGGTCGTAAATAAATTATAGTCTCGCCAAAATTATTTTTAAAAAGACTACTGTCATTTCTACTCTTAGTGTATGAGTAGTCTAATAACTTTAATACTTAATAAAAACTATTAGTTACGAGTAAAAAGATAAAGATGGTCAATATCATACGGAATTCCTGTGATGGATTAAACTGCAAAATCGTGCATGGAAGAAAGCTCCCACACTCGATCGATGTAAAGACCGGTGCCAGGTAAGGTTGCTTAATCTCACCCTCTCTATTTCTTCTGGTGATCGACTGCATTATGAAGACGCCAAAATCTCAAGGGAAGCGTGGAATACAGTGGACAGCTGGGGCACAGATGGACGATCTAAACTTTGCAGATGATATTGGCTCTTCTATCGCACACGCAACAACAAATGCACAAGAAGACGACCAGTGTAGCAACAGCCTCAGCAGCACTAGGTCTCAACATACACAAAGGGAAAAGCTAGATTTTCCAACAAAGCGCAACATGCATCAATTCAATCACAATTGATGGAGAAGATTTGGAGGATGTAAAATCCTTTACATATCTGGGTGGCATGATTGATAAACATGGTACATCTGATGCAGATGTGAATGCGTGGATCGGCAAAGCAAGATCAATATATCTACAACTGAAAAACATCTGGAACTCAAAACAACTCTCTGTCAATCAACACCAAAATCAGAATTTTCAATACAAATGTCAAAGCAGTTCTAGTGTATGGGATGGAAACTTGGAGAACTACGAAATCCATCATCTAGAAGATACAAGTGTTTATTAACAGTTGTCTACATAAAGTACTTCGTATCCGTTGGTCAGACACTATCAGCAACAACCCATTGTGTGAGAGAACAAACCACATTGCAGTGGAGAAAGAGATGAGGTCGAAGAACAATTGGAAGTGGATAGGACACAAATTGAGAAAAACACTCAACTGTGTCACAAGGCAAGCCATCTCATGGAATCCTCAATGACAAGGGAGAAGAGGAAGACGAAAGAACACATTACACTGAGAAGTGGAGAGTGACATATGAAGAAGAATGAAGAACAATGGGATAGAACTATAAAGGAAGGTCCAGTAGAGAGTGTGTTGTAGAATGTTGATCGGCAGTCTATGCTCCTCTGTTGGGAGTAATAGGCGTAAGTATGTATATAGGTAAAAAAACTAATAAGTGCTTACATGTTTATTATAATTATTCTTATTGTTATGATTGTTCCTTTCAGCTTTCATTTGATGAAGATATGGTTCCGATTGTATTGATCTCAATTTACCATTCATATCAAAGTTGACTTTATTCGTCAATTTATTTTTTACTGGTGATGATGATGATGATGACGATGTCGACGTCAACGTTGACGACAATAATAACGGTGTTAATATGTTAATTGTTGATGGTTTTATAAAATTTGATTGTTTCTTATATTCTACCATTTTATTATTATTATTGTTCAATGTTTCATCATTCATAGATATAACAGAAATTTCACTGATTTCTGATATATTTAATAAATCTGATTCAGAATCCCATTTATGATCAGATGAATTATTATGATATTGTTTTAATGTATTCATCATCTTATTATCTTGTTTATATTTTGATGATACAGATGATGATGATGATGAATATAAAAGATGTTGGGTAGAGAATGATGAGGATGATGATGGTGTTGTTGTTGTTGTTGTTGATGTTGTTAAAGATGACAATGATTTCGTAGTGAATTTATACTTATCTTGTCTATTAGTTAATTCATTATGTAAACTTGTTGTTATTGTTGATGGATCAAGTTCAGAGTTTTTCATTTCATTTGATAACAATAAATTTGATGATTTTGATATGTTACATTCAAGTTGATTATTATAATTACTACTATAATTGAAATTAGTAATATCACCATGTGTATTATTAATATGTGGTGATAATGATGATGATGTTGATGATGATGAAATTGATAATGATAATGATGATGATGATGATAATGCAGTTGACAGTGGTTGTGTTGTTGTTGTTATTGTTGTTCTTGATGAATCTTTCGACTGTTCAGTTTCATCTTTAATGATTAAAACAGCTGATTGAGGTTTTCTTTCTAAATAATTAGTTTTACTTATATTCAGTGACTGAATTGATCGACGATAGTTATTATTATTATTATTATTATTATTATTATTATTATTATTAGTAGTAGTAGTAGTAGTAGTAGTAGTAGTAGTGGTAATGTTATGATTATTATCCATTGTATTATTATCAATACTAAGTTGTCGAGTATTCCATGCCATATCAACACTTGTAGAACGTTGTGTATTACGTCGTCTAAGATCAGCACGTAAAAAACTAGTTCGATGCATTATTCTAGTATTGTTATCATTGTAGTTGAGATTTGTATTAGTAATAATACTATTATTAGTAGTAGCATTATTATTACTATTACTATGATTACCGTTAATAACTCCTTGATTTATTACAAAAGAAAATGGTAGAAAAGATTAAATCATATAAGATATTCATTATCACAGTGGAAAACAAACAAAAATACAAACAAGGATCTATTAATTTTAATAGTTTAGATCATGAGACAGTTGGAGCTAGAGCACCATGGGAAACTTGAAAGCACTGGACGGCCTATTGTAGGACTCCTCAGAAGTGATATATTACTTCGTAAGTTTAAATGCCATTTAATCGATTATAATTTGTGGTCAAAGGTCAAAGATGTATTATTTTTGTTCAAACACATAAACGTTGGTACAATGTGGTACTAAATAGATATGCGCCACAAAAATCATTCGATTTGTGCGAGAGCTGGGATACTGACTGGTTACCCAAACAGAAGTAGGTGGTTTTCCCAGGGGGTCACACTAGAATCCTTCGACCTGAAGGTCTGATCCACAAGACAGTGAAGCAACATGAGAAGATGCATTCCCATGGTAGCCGGTGGCCAACAATTGGTTCATACGCCATTTGTTCCCTTGGAATTCTGGAGCCTATGTGCATCACTGGTTTGGAATCACGGTTTTCCAACTCCTCTGCGTAGATCCTCTATATCCATCAACCCGGTTAGAGCTCCGAACACTCACTTCTTGTCCTCTCAATTTCGTAAACAACACCCATGGTGCGAGAAGGCAATGAGTAGGAATTCTGTGGAAGTGTTTGTGTGCACGTGGCCAGCTGAGAGCGTTTCGAGAGGGAGGGCTGACTCACCTCACTCTCGGCCTTACCAGGACATTTTTGGCCCCTGGATAAAGATGAAAGATGTATCCATTTCGTTTCGTTTGGAACTCACTAATCAAATGTATTTCATCCAAAAATAACAGTATTCATTAATTTAAGCCACAAACTCATTCATAACAGGTCTACTATTGATATTATCATCATTTTTAAGGGTTTGTGTCTGTTGGTATTCGGTATAATCTTTTTAACTTCGTGCACTGCTCATCCTGACAACCATCACTAGATAACGCCTAATGGTGTGTAGAAATCAGAAAAAGAATACGAAGCGTTGTTTACGTTTATTATCGCACCACACACACACAGATCACCAAAACTACAGGCACACCAGACAAGAATGATATGTGAGTGTCGAACAGCAAGCGAGTGAGTGAGCAAGTCCATGAACAATATTAAAATGCAATCGCTAAGTGGATAACGCGATGGAGTTTGAAGTGAATGCTATTGGGTGCGAGTCACAGAGTGGACATCAATTCTAAGATGCTGGTACATCCAACTGACGAATCCCGAATAGGACAAAACACGCACCTTGAATTTCACAGCTAGCCATTATCCATTTTTACTTAAAAGTTATCATTATCGCATCACTCATATATCAGTAGTATAAAATCATTTTATTATAAACACTAATTATTTAATAATCATATTATAGAAACTTACTTGATTGAATTTCTGGTAACTGTTGAAAGTTGATAATTTTCAATTGTAATATATCTCTTGTTGTTGTAATCAAATCAACTACTTGTGTATGTGTTGCATCATAAACATCCATACCATTAATCTGAAATATAAATCATATTTCAAATCAATCATAACTATTGTAGAGTTATAATGATTGATACTATGTCAAGCCAACATAATTTGTTCGAGCATTTGAACAAATTAGTTTATTTATTCTTCTGAAACCTAAAAATGCCGTATTACAGCCGAGAGTGAGGATAGTCAACTCTCCTTCTCGAAATGCTATCACGCGTATACAGCCACTCTCACAGAAGTCCTACTCACTGCATTCTAAAGGCAAGGGTGTATTTTATGTAAAAAGAGCGACGCTTTAACCGAGTTGGTGGATACAGAGGATCCAACTAGGAGAGTTGGAAAACACTGACTACATATCAATGTTTCACATGGGTTCTAGAATCCTGAGGAAATAAATGGCGTATAAACCAATTACTGGTCACTGACTACCATGAGACTACATCTTTTGACGTTGCCCCACTGTCCCGGGTGTGGCCTCCTGAGGAAACCATCTGAAGCGGTTTGGACATTCGGGCAGTATCAGAGCCCATGCACAAATCAAGAGACTTGTGTGCCGCATATCCATTTGGTGACCCTTTTTACTAATATTTATGTGTTCTAGTAAATATATTTTGACCTTATCACTTATTTGCTTATTAACCTTGACTATATTTTATGTCATCATATGTGTGCGCATTGCTTATTCATTACATGTCTGTAACTTTTTTTTATCTGAATCGCGTTTGATCAAAACGGGTTGGCTTAATCGCCTTCTCTATTGACTGTTACTTCATTTCGGTTTGCTTCCTTCACTTCGTTTTCCTGATTGTCTGTATAGATCTATAAGTCTATGTAATATATGTTTTGAAAAAATCCATTTACGTATTTGACATATTGGTGAGACTATAATTTATGGACGACCTCGGGACTCAAACCGGAAAGCTTCAGTCTAGCTTCACCTCTAAACCACTGAGCCGGCATCCAATGGTTTTAATGTCTAACTTCAATTGACCCATGATATAATCTTTGTTGATGAGAAAACAATTAATGCATATTATTAAATGATTGGAAATAGTTAAAAGAATTCCCTGTTGGAACTAGGTTTTGTGATAGCTGGAACTGATCAGTAAGGTGTACACCTACAATATTGAAAACGTTCATGATTTCTGTAAGATTGAAAACCGTACCGATCAGTTTTCAAGTTTGAGATGTTACTGTTGAGTTTTTCTAGTAGCTAATGATTGACTTATGAGTGGTAACCAGTGTTGTTTTTTACTAGTTCTTAGTTATGATCAAATTATTTCTATGAAGTTGTAATGTAGCTATTGTACTGAGTGACTCAACATTCTCTGCACAACATTTTAACTTTAGATGATTGGAGATAGTCGGGATGAAACTTTGAACTTTAGTTTTGTGTTCATTGGTGCCCACCTATTAGACTAGTATTCGTATTACAATTTGGTTAATATAATCAGATTAACACTAAACATCATACAGACATGATATTGAAGTTGATGACTCCAATAAGACTCAAACATGACATCTTTCACTTCTTGCTTCAGCGCATTGTGCACTGAGCTACTAAATTTGATTTGTTCATAACCTGTGTTACGAATACAGGTTTTATGCATTGTTAGGTCCTGATAAGCATAATGAATGGTAACTTTCGGGATCGATTTATGGACCAATACTATGAGTATATTTTTACCGTATAATTTTTAATTAACTAAACTATTCATATTCATATCTCTCTTATCATAAGATTTATTTTAATCTATGAACTATTATTATACGATTTACCATTCTTGAATTATGCCCTGTCTATTATTCATTACCTCCCTCATTCACAGACACTTTTGGCTAGATCTTGTACAAATGTTATTTCCTATTTTATACTATGATGTGCTCTTTTGGGTTAGGATATAAACACAGTATGTTTGAAATACATGATTCATATTCCAGAGGCTGAGATTGGTATTCTGGACTTAACTGGCTGGGATAGGACCGATAAGGACTCTAGACTGCTTGCACGTGTTTTACGCGTCCTTGGTCCGATCGATAATCCACTGCTCTCTAATTGGCGGTCGCAAGATATAACATGCATACAAGTTTATATTGATGTTGAAGACAGCAGAATAGGATCAAACAAGGGTCCTTGATTACACCAATAGACATTAAACGACTGAAATAGAAAACATGCAACAATATCACAATACCGAGGCAATTTGCTCTGGATATAAATATGCCACCAGTGACTAACCGATCTCAATACTTTACTATAATATTAACAACAGGCAAAACATATAACTCCATACGAATAACTAATCAGCCTATTTTCTTCAAACCTTATATATCATTCTTCAACTTCATATTACCTTTCTTCTACACATATGTTGTTGATGAATTCTAACTACCACGAAACCTAGATTGAAGGCCTACTCCTGATTGTTATCAATTCGCTGGGATGAAACGAGTCAGTTAATTAGTTTATTAATTCATCAGTTAATTTCATTGAATAATTTACCTCAAGTATATAATCGCCTGGTACAAGTCCAGCTTTTTCAGCTTTACTATTTGGTTGAACGCTCAAAATCCTTTGACTGGGTAAATTGTTAGCAATAAATGATCGTTCTTTAAAATCTATGTAAAAAAGAAAAAGAGGATATTTCAGTGGCTTACAAGTATTGTACTCATAGTATGATCTAAAAACTATAGGTTCAATACCATGTAGTGACGTAATTGATAGGCACTACTGAAAGATTATAGATTAGAATAAATCAAATGTCTAGCCTTCTTCAAGTTCTCGAAAATTCCTCATCTGATTTCAACTTATAATAAGAAATAATGACTTGACATACATGAGACTGGTCACCATCCAGTGATCAATCAACTGTAAATAAATCTCAGCGTCTCTGATTGTGAAGCTGGGTGACACAGGATAAAATCCGTCAGGAAGCATAAGTTCCCTCAAGGTTTCAGGTACACCTTGCTGACGAGTGCCAAGTAGCACAAAACCAAGATCCAGGGTTTCTTGTTGACTACCTCTAACCACCATCTTATCTCAACATAGTGCACGAAATGTCGAGTCACCTAGACTAGTGGTCACATTGCAACTCAGTCGATAGCATTCGATCTGCACTAAGAGGGACCTGACATACATCACACTGATCACTACCCAGTAATCAGTCAATTGTAAATAAACTTTCACTATATATATTAGAATTTATGAGCATCTAATTTATATAATATTAAGTGCAAGGGTAGTTTAGTAGATTGCTAGTTTGAGCCCAAGTCCACCCAATTCAATCTGATCAATTAGACCATACTACTAGCTTCCCTTCAACCCACACACACACACAAACACAGAAAAACAGTGTCATTTAAAGACATACGACATAGACTTGCATTCGCCAGGTGAATGATATTGGCTACTCATTCTGGAGTAAGATTCTGTCCTGTGAAACGTCAAAGATTTATAAACATCAAGTCACATAATGTCCAAGAGTCCTTTTACCATTAAAATAGGATACATGACTATATTCAGTAATAATATTTGCTATAGATGAGAGATGAATTGTTGGTTGGTTCGTGCAATAGGTAAATTGTTCCAAATGAATACTATTTTGAAGAGTAATATATAAAATCGGTAATTGAATAAAGACTGGACATCGAAAGGAAATTTGATTACAGTTGGTGAACGCGTGAACACAGTACCCAAAGAACAACTGTTTGAGGCCGGTCACACACGATCATTCTGAAGGTAATTCTCATGTTGGCTACGTACTTGTTGAGATCTGAACACCGCAGACGGGAATCCGTTGGATACAGTGAAGTGTGCATTTTAAAGGGTTAACTTTTTATAACCCAACCCTTCCTTTGTGGGAATGCAGCATCGCTATCATACTGGTTGTCAGAGGGAAACACCTTACTGCTGTCACACCTATGCACAGTCAGTAGTACGACTTTGTCTTCGGACCTTGAGTTTACTGCTTTTATTCTTACTGTTCTTCAACCGACCTGTCTGGCATAATAGGAGCTTGACGAACGATTGTTCTAGCCAGTATAGCCCGATTGCTTGATTACGACAGGCAAGTTAGACCACCACGTCAAGATAGTTGCAACGGTCAGTGATGTTACATTTATTGTTACAACAACAGACATCTTTATCACATTATTTGAATTAAAGAAAAATTTCAGTCTGTATGTTTAGAATTTAAGGTGGAACACAAATTAATGATGATGATTCATACGGTAGAGGAAATCATCTATATGGCTTCATAATAGTCGGCCTTCAGAGCCATGATAAGGTTGCAAAATCTCTTTCAGCCCCGATCACGTAGTTTCGATATTGTTTGTGTGCACTCCGGTTGTTGGGTCCACAAAATACCGTTTATGGATAACGACACGATGCACATAACCAAATAAATATAAGCGTTTGTATACTTTCCAATCATCTGTATATACTGTAGTACCCGGCTGTAGCCAGTGTTACTGGTACTTTTTTCATCCAGTCATAGTTGGCTACAGTCTCAATCTGGATCGAGCAAAAAGATCCTATTCCAGCAGACTTCTTTCTCCAACATATATTACATCGAAAGACAACATTATTACAGTAGACTGCACAAGGTCCACAAGTCATTTGATTACCACGATCACAAATAAAGGAACGTCTTAGTAGTTTTAATTGTTGAAGCCGCTCAATTATCACATTTTCTCTAAACATCCACTATGAACTGATTGTACATGAGCCTCAACTACTGAAATTGACACTCTGACCTTGAAACCCCTCAAACCCTTTAGATTAGTTCGTCCATATATTATAGTTTCGCCCATACTTTCAAAAGATTGTTAATATGAAATTAAAAACAAACAAACAAACATTGTTTACTTACTATCTGATCCTTGCATAATAAAACCGTAACCAGTTATTCCACGTTCCAAAATGATTGAACGTATACGATAGTTTGGATAACGTTGTCTAAAGTATTACAAACAATAAGCAACTATATACTAGTGATAAAAATTGGGAAACAATTAACACAGTGAACTAATAATCATGTCAGTTACCATATTTCATACCATCTAATTGATTAGAGTGAAGAATTCATAGTGTATTCTGATGAATTGTTGCCTTGTATCTACGGAACTTGTAAATGTTTTAGTAAATAAACAATGAATAGTTGACATTCATCATTACTCTTGAGTAAATATTCTTATTGTTTACTAATAATATTAGTTAAAGAAAAGTTTTAAAATGGTTTTGAATTTTTCAATGGATCAGATACATCACACTGTTAGTAACGATGGATTCGAACTATTTGTTCATCAATTTCATATTATTACTTCAATCAGCATGGATTCAGAAAGTTCGTTTCGCTATTGCCAAATTACTTCACCTATGGAGAAGGCGAGATATCCGTTTATCAATTAAGGGATGAGTATACTACACAGCAGTTTGTTCTGTTCTACTTTACAGATTCGAAACATGACCATTAAGAGTAGAAGTATTTGATCACAGATGTTTTCGGAATATTGCTTGCACCTGTTGGGATCATCAGGTAAGTAATAGTGAAGTTAGATGTTGGGTATTAGAGAATAATGGTAAATCAGTTGATGAGGTTGTGAATCATTATCAACTGAGATGGTTGGGACACGTGTCATGTGTGCCTGAACACCGATTACTACGACGCGCAATGCTGACTAGTGTCGGGGATGATTGGAAGATAGTTGGGGACGACCAAACCAAAATGTGGAATCAGTGCTTGAAGTCACTAACTTCTAGTCTGAGCCATTTCGGTAGATGCAGATTACTTGGTTGGGGTCCGCATGACTATCTTAACCAATGGTTGGAGACTTTGCGTGATCACAATGGTGTAGTTGTATACATTCTCTGATTAAAATTGCTTTATATCTTTCTTTCTACCAACTAATTCTTTCACCCTGTATTATATCCTAATATGCAATCTTTCTTTTATGTATTAATACAATTGAATTAACTACTTCAATGAATTTGGTGTTCATCTTGTTGTGGTAATGTGGTATGGCAACTTGGACCAATGGACACATGTGCCTGGTCATAAGTTGTAGCTGACTGACTATTACTCCAATCAATTCATGAAACAACAAAATTCTTATTTAATGTCACTGATAAATAACTGTTTTAATTTTGACATTATTAGCATGAGAAATGAACTGAAAAGTTCTAGTATATTCAACATTACAAGAGCAAAGGAATAATGGATAATGAGATGGCGTTTGAAGAGAACGGCTTGGGTTCGAGTCCCAGAGTGAACGTCAACTCTGAGATGCAGGTACATCAAGCTGACGAGTCCCAAATAGAACGACGTATATTCCACTGGATTTTACTACTAGTTACTATCTTTGCTTACAATTATTTAAGTATATAAATCCCAATGAATGTCCGATTATGACAAAACTTGAGAAGTGCTAGTTTATAATCAATCACTAGTGCCAACAAACGACGAATCTTCAGAAGTTAGTATTCTTTACAGTCATCAGATATAAATGAGAGTTCATTTTCGATGAAGTTTCGTTCTCTGAGCTGGACAGTTTGGTCATGGAGCTTTCATCGTTCTTCTGAACAACATCATCAGTAAAAACTTCAGGAAAACTTCATTTCTACTTGAAATTTGTGCTGATGTTCTTGTTCAAAAGAATGATGAAAGCTCAATGATCTAGCCATCCAACTCACACAACAAAACTCCATCAAAATCATCAACCTGATCTACAAATCTTCTCCACCATCTCAAGAGTTCATTTTCTTATTCAATGAAGCATTTTAAATATATATTAATATATACCCGATCTCCCGATTTCGAGGAAGTCGCTATAGTAAACGATGGGAAAATGGCACTAAAATCCCGAAATTTCCCCAGACCTGGGGAAATTCTCCGATATCTCCCCAAAATTCCCCTTTAACCTTGATCAAGATCATTTAATTTTGGAAATTTCCCCAAACTTGGGAGCTCGAGTATATGAATGATGAAAAAAATCATAATACTACTACTTATAGTAACAATAATAGTAGTAGAATACTACCTTAGGAAATTTAATCGTCGAGGAAATTTGAAAATATCTACAATAAATCAATAAAAAGAAAAAAGAAAATTATTCAGATTCACCTTGATATTAATAATAATAATCATCATAATTTTGATTGTGTCAATTATAAAATTTTCATTTTTCATTCTAATCTAAGACACTAATTAACAATGTTCATATGATATAAATCAAAGATCAAATTCAGAGTCTTCCTACTCTCATATTGTATGATATTTACAAACTACCAATCTAAGTTGGTATCTAATAAATTCATATACAACATTAATTGTTTCAAGATAATGAGGAACTGACTTAATTACTTATGCCTATTACTCCTAATAGAAGAGCATAGACTGCCGATCAACATTCTACAACACACTCTCTACTGGACCTTCCTTTATAGTTCTATACAAATGTTCTTCATTCTTCATCATATGCCAGTCTCCATTTCTCGGTGTAATATGTTCTTTCGTCTTCCTCTTCTCCCTTGTCATCGAGGATTCCATGAGATGGCTTGCCTTGTGACACAGTTGAGTGTTTTTCTCAATTTGTGTCCTATCCACTTCCAATTGTTCTTCGACCTCATCTCTTTCTCCACTGCAATGTGGTTTGTTCTCTCACACAATGGGTTGTTGCTGATAGTGTCTGACCAACGGATCCGAAGTATTTTGCGTAGACAACTGTTAATAAACACTTGTATCTTCTGGATGATGGATTTCGTAGTTCTCCAAGTTTCCATCCCATACACTAGAACTGCTTTGACATTTGTATTGAAAATTCTGATTTTGGTGTTGATTGACAGAGAGTTGTTTTGAGTTCCAGATGTTTTTCAGTTGTAGATATGCTGTTCTTGCTTTGCCGATCCACTCATTCACATCTGCATCAGATCTACCGTGTTCATCAATCATGCCACCCAGATATGTAAAGGATTTTACATCCTCCAAATCTTCTCCATCAATTGTGATTGAATTGATGCATGTTTTGCTTTGTTGGAGAATCTAGCTTTTCCCTTTGTGTATGTTGAGACCTAGTGCTACTGCGGCTGTTGCTTCACTGGTCGTCTTCTTGTGCATTTGTTGTTGCGTGTGCGATAGAAGAGCCAATATCATCTGCAAAGTTTAGATCGTCCATCTGTGCCTTAGCTGTCCACTGTATTCCACGCTTCCCCTGAGATTTTGGCGTCTTCATAATGCAGTCGATCACCAGAAGAAATGGAGAGGGTGAGATTAAGCAATCTTTCCTGACACCGGTCTTTACTTCGTAGCTTTAGGGTAATTTTTTAACTTTGATCATTTATATATATTCAGGACTTTTCTTATACAGACAGAAACGGACCAATCCAACTTATGTTAATAAGTGAAATGGGTTTTATAAACATTCGTTACAATGGTATAGTAACTGTCGAATCAACCATATCCATATATCATAGATGAAGTTCATTTATAAATCTTGATTGTAACAATGTGGTCACCAAATGTGAAAATATTACGTATAGATTTTATAAGAAGTCAGTGTATTCTACCAAAAATATATAATTGTTAAGTTTCTCAAAGTTTTCAATAGTTAAGATCGTGGAACGATTGAAACTGAACCACCATGGAAAACCTGGAAGAACCACGATCCTGCCTAGCCAGAATCAAAGTCAGGACCCACTGGTCTCGTGGACGAACGCTTAATCTCTAGACTACTGTGCTGACATTCAATGGTGTTAATATCTAACTTCAAACTTCGTGGTTACTCTCTGCTGAGAAGTCCTTCAAAATAGGATGAACAAAATAAAATTTATTAATCGGTTTCTGTAATGGTTGGATATTAAGCGGTAAAACATTGAACACCTGGAATCGTTGAACAGTTGTTTCATTTTAGTAATAAGATCTCCTACACAACCCTAACAGAAAGACTTACTTACTTACTTACGCGTTTTACTCTTCATGAAGTAGCATAGGCCGCCCACCAGCATTTTCTATCCAACCCTGTCCTGGGCAATCCTTTCCAGTTATTTCCAGTTGTGATTCATCCTTTTCATATCTGATTCTATTTCCCGACGTAATGTGTTTCTTGACCTTCGTCTTTTCCGCTTACCTTCAGGATTCCAAGTTACGGCATGCCTCGTGATGCAGTTTGATGATTTGCGTAATGTATATCCTATACATTTCCATCTTCTTTTCCTAATTTCCTCTTCAGCTGGAATCTGGTTTGTTCTCTCGCACAAAAGGCTGTTGCTGATGGTATACGGTCAATGGATGCTGAGTATCATGCGCAGACAGCTATTTGTAAATGCTTGTACGTTCTTGATGTTGGTTGTAGTAGTTCTCCAAGTTTCAGCTCCGTACAGTAAGACTGTCTTGAAGTTCGTATTGGAGATTTAGACCTTGATATTGGTTGAGAGACAGTTGTTTTGAGTTCCATATGTTCTTCAATTGTATGAATGCGATCCTTGCTTTGCCAATCGTCACCTTTACGTCTGCATCCGATCCTCCTTGTTCATTGATGTTGCTTCCTGAGTACGTGAAAGATTCCACATCTTTCAGACTTTCGCCATTATGTGTGATTAGGTTAGTGTTCTCGTTTTTGCATTTGAGGATCTTGGTTTTCCCCTTGTCTATGTTGAGGCCTACTGATGCAGAGACTGCCGCTGCACTGGTTGTCTTTTTCTGCATTTGTTCTTATGTATGGGATAGGAGGGCTAGGTCATCTGCAAAGTCCAAATCGTCTAATTGGTTCTGAGCCGTCCATTGTATTCCATGTTTTCCCTCAGATGTCGAGGTCTTCATAATCATGTCGATCACCAGAAGAGAGAGGAAGGAGGAAAGTAGACAGCCTTTTCTGTCTCCGGTCCTTACTTGAAATACATCTGTTAGCTGTCCTCCACGAACTATTTTACACTAACCGAGAAAGAACTTAGGGTTATTAAGTTTTATGTTCCAAAGATCTCGATAGAAATAAAGATTGTTTACAATAGATTTAAGGCTAACTATCGGTTCTATTTATATCTGATACGAATCATCATATGTAAATTACATTATTAAAAGTGTAATTTTATGTATTATACTACTTACCTTGTGAATTATTATCATTATAAATCGTTCCTCCACAATTATCATTATCATTACCATATGTCACTTGTCGTCGAATAGATAATGATGGTCTGTTATTATTATTATTATTATTATTATTATTATTATTATTATTATTATTATTATTATTAATAGTAGCTTCTTTTTTATCAACATTATTACGTCTAATTATATCTGGTGTTCGAGATTCAATTTTATTATTATGAAATACATATTGATTGATTCGTTTTGGTGTAAGTTGTCTTAAATCATTCATGTCAAATGATAAACATCTTTGATAAGGAGTTGGAGGTAATTCTCTGTCTACTGACATTGGTTTACTTGGTTTACGTGTACTTATTATGTTACCATTATTATTATTATCATTATTATTATTACTGTTACTATGGTTACTATTATGATTATATTGAAGTAAGTGAACACTGTCATACACTGCTCTTGGTCCATGAATTGTCGGTCGTCTATCTTTATTGTATACAGGTTTTTGATCAATTCCCTCTAGATAAATAGACAAATCAGTTTAAAAAAAAAACAGAAGGAAATTGAAAAGTGAAACAATAATAAATAGGTGTAGGACATCTGACTATCGTTTTTATACGTTAGATTTAATCGAATATAGGAAAAGAATGAAATTTCCAAAACTATTCTATAGTGAACTATTATTTATGTATTAGAATGGGTTTTTGGGGATATTATAGTAATTTCAATGGTTGAGATCATAGGTCGATTGAAGCTAGACGATCATGGAAAATCTGAAAGTACTGGACGGCTGTTTAATCCTACAGTGGTACTCCTCCTCCTAACCAACGCTTAACCTCTAGACCAATGGCTCGGTCGGCATCCAATGGTGTTAATGTCTAACTTCAATGAATCCACGAAATCGAGCGATACATCCATCATTGTTGTCAGTGAGTTACTATCTCATCCTATTATGGGACTCGTCAATAGTGCTCATCCATGATCCTGCCTCACGAGATTTTCCATGATGGTCTAGCTTTAATTGACTCATGATCTCAACTATTAAAACTATTTATACGAATATTCGTCAAGATTAGAACGAATAGTTTGACAGTAATTGAGCGCCAAGTATAGAGAAGTCATTATATGTGAAAATTATATTTGAAATATTCTCAGTGATTGAAATTTAACTAATTCCATGTATGTATCTTCCATGTTAGATATGACATTCAACTACTTGTATTCGGAGAATTATTTAAGAATACTAAGTGAGTGTATTGTCTTGTATCACAGTTTTTCTTTGTTTAAAACTAAATAATGCTTTATGAGAATTCTCATGCATATGATTTTGTGGTATGGAATATCTAGAGTTCTTAGAATTTTGTATATAACATTTAAGGTCCTTCTGAAGTTATGCCATTTATTCCCTCAGGATCATGAAGTCCTTGTTCACCACTAATTTGGAATCAAACATTTTTCAATTTCTTTACGTGAGTCTTTCATATCCACCAACTGCTTTAGGGCATCAGACATTTGCTTTTCATTCACTTAATTTGGTAAACAACATTCTCACCACAAGAAGTCAGTGAATAGGACTTCGTTAGTAGTGGCAGTATACTTGAGTCCATGTGAAAGCACCATTGTCCGTACTAGTGTATTTAGTTTTTTAAGTACATACTTCAGAATCTGTGATCTGAATGGAAGCATACTCTTTATAGATGTAATCGCTGAACACTCACTGAAGAGTGAACCTGAAGTAAGAAACCTTGATTTATTCAAAATAATTAATTAGTAATAATTACTACTCTTATTCAGCTCAACAGAAGCCATTAACAATGAGTCCTTCTAAGATGATTTATGTGTATGAGATAAAAGCATGATAAACTTCTTTTCTGATATAATAGAGTTTATTATAAGCAAACAATTTCACTTCACTTGGTGTTGTTTACTTGTATCTTCCCATTGTTATTTAGGATTGCAATTGATCAGTCTCTTGTTGGCACATTTACATTCTGTGCGAACTCCCTCGATATTGTCTGAAGTCACAAGCTTTATAGAATCAAAGATGGATAATGGCTAGTAGTGGAATCCAGGACGCGCACCACTTCGTCCTATTTAGAACTTATCATCTGAATGTACTTGTATCTCAGAGTCGATGTTCACTTATTACGCAATATAATAATTTATCAGTTCACTGACATTCATTAATGAAGTTATTTGTATTATACTTACATCGACTGTTGATGTGACCATTAATAGTTATGAATAGTCATGATTAAAACCCCTTCCCCCCCCCCCAAATAGTTTATTTAATCAAATTTTCATTATAAAATATCCATCGGTTTCAACTAGTACAATTTACACCTTAGTTTATGTCGTTTCCATTTTAATTTCCTTGAATGTAATATTTGTAATCAGTAAAAATGTTAGCAGTTTATAATTGTACTGAACGTGAACACTAAATGGGAACAATCAAACTTATTTGAATACCATATTACAGAATATCTTAGTAACATCTAAGAACTATACAATAAATACTTTATTTGTAAAATGTTCATTAATTAACTCAGACTAAATTGTTCATATAGTTCCATATCAATTACTTTCTATTTCTGTTCTGGTATATCTAGAAGGGTGTACTTGATATACTGCTTATAACGTGAGCACTAGAACGCCAGAATTTTTCCAAGTCGCAATAAGAAGACAGAAGGCTAATGAAAGGAATATTATTCCCTGATAGTGTTAATTATAGTAGAAAATTGTCAGGTATTTATAGTCCTCCAATCCGCATACAAGGGGTTATTAGTATTGTCCATTCGGGAAGCTACACGTAGGAATTCTAGAATATTCTTCCAAAAGGTGATTGGATGGAATATCTTCAGCTCCTTCGGAGCCTCCTACAGCTTCTTCGAGTTCACCAGTGGTCCGTCGTCACACGTTCTTTACTCCTCGACCATCGTGACTTTCTGTTGCCAGTTATTCTATTCCTGTCTAGCGCTACATACTACTACTATCGATCTAAGTAGCACACACACACACACCACATAGTCACCATATAAGATTCTTGTAGATGGATTGATTAGATTATTTTATTCCACAGGAAACTTATTGTTCTTACATCGTACAAAGTTTGATTTCATTTTTGTATTGTGAAGCTGAAAATATTTTGATATCAATAGAGGTTTTATGGATATTCTTGTCATTTTAATAGTTGAAATCATGAGTCAATTAAAACTAGACAATCATAGAAAACCTCGAAGCACTAGATAACCGTTTCGTCCTATTTTGGGACTCGCATCTCAATAATCTTGCCTCACGATATGTCTAACGCAGAACCTAATGGTCTCACAGGTGAACGCTTAACCTCTAGACCATTGAGCCGGTACTTTGAAGTTTGTCTTATCAACAAAATGTACCTAGAATTTGCATGGAATTAATACATTTCAATAATATTACTTATTTATAAACTACTTACCAACTAAATGTTCATCAAAATTTTGTAAAATATTTGCTAAATTCATCCGTTCAATAAGTATAGCTAATTCATATGGAGTTTGTCCAGATGAATTAATTAATGTTGGTGATGCACCATAACGTAATAATAAATTTAAACAATCCATTTCATCAGCTAATACACATAAATGTAATGGTGTATTATGATTTTCAACTTGTGCATTTAAATCAGCTCCATAAATGATTAATTGTTTTAATGTTTTACTACGACCATTTAAACAAGCCTTGTAAAGTAAAACAAAACAAAATAATATCAGAAGGGGTTTTGTGGAGATTGTAGTAATTTCAACAGTTGAGATTATGAGTCAATTGAAGTTAGACCACCATAGAAAACCTGGAAACGGCCGTCCAGTGTTTCCAGGTTTTCCATGGTGGTCTAACTTCAATTGATTCGTGATCTCAACTGTTCAAACAAAGTGATGAAATTTGATGGGTTATGTGAACAAAATTGAAATCTTTTCATAAAAAAAGACAACGTTTATCTAAGTACAATTCAGTATTATATATATTAATCAGAGGAGGTTTGAAATGTCTATTTTACATTCTGTTCTTACTCACTCCTCTTCTACTCTTTTGCATATTGTTTTATACTACTTATTATTATTCAGTAAATAGTTGTATTATCAGTAATATTTAAACTTTTTGTTGTAACTCATATCTGAAATATTATAACATTTATTGTATTTATCATTATAATTACTTTATCTCAATCACCACAGCAGTTATCTACACTTTTGTGTATTTGTTTAAACGTAAGAGGTTCCATATTGTTTTGCTGTTTGTTCGGGTTTAACTTATTGATAGAATGTTACCAAGTTTAAACACAACTATCGACTGTCTTTTACAATATCGAAACCCTTTTTATTTCATACAAAAGGACACGTTAAACGCTATAGACACCTTGTAAGTTGAGAACCGCTATTGTAGATAAATCTTTGTTTTGCGAACTTTGGTTTCGCACGTATCTGAATTGAGTGACTTGAACGTCTCGATTGACCTAATAAAGGGGTTTTGTGGATATTATAATAGTTTTAATATTTGAATTTGAGTCAGTGGTGGACGGTGGCACAACTTCATTGATTGATTGAAGTTAAACAATAACATCGTTGGGTGCCTTGTATAAGCAAGTGGCTATCAGCACTACGTACCTAAGTGGGTAATGAGATGGCGTTTGAAGCAAATGGTACTGAGTTCGAGTTTCGGAGTGAATATCAACTCTGAGATACACGAACATCCAGTTGAAGAGCCTTAAACTTGGCGAAACAGGCGTCCTAGATCCCACTGTTAGCCACTATCCATCTTTGCTGATAATGATCATAAGGTTTATTTGAGATAACTGTTTTGCTTAAGAAATTTGATTTCTTTCAGTAAACTACATATACGTTAGTGTAGAGATAATGAATTTCAATAATAATTTATGAATAAAAGGAAAGGTATAGAACTATTCAATCAACGCGTTTAATTTGCATGACATTAATGAATTAGATAAAGAAATATTATTAAAACAGATTTTGATGGAGTTTTGTTCTCTGAGCTGGATGGTTTGATCGTGGAGCTTACATCATCTTCTTCTGAACGACATCATCATCATCAGCACAAACTTCCGGTAGAACAAATACACATATTGTGGTAGATTTAAAACTACATGAGATACATTTGTATTCAAAACTAGTTAAACATATGCATTGAATTGGTTGAAGTTATTTGTAACGTTTTCATATTCAGTACATTTCAATTACTTTTTCGTTGATTAAATAAGTGAATGGTTCATATTGTAGTGTAAACTTTATGAAAGCATACAGTTAAAGCCTTGTAGCATACTAGATTTGTTGGATATGTCCGTAAAAGACAGATAATAACAAATATGTCCATTGAATTCATTTAAATTTCAATACTACTAATCTGGTACAATGTTTTATGGCCACGTGTTGCGTATGCCTGAACACCGATTACTACGACGTTCAATGCTGACTAATGTTGGGGATGGTTGGAAGAAAGTTAGGAGCGGCCAAACCAAAACGTGGCATCAGTGCTTGAAGTCACTAACTTCTAGTCTGAGCCATGTTGACAGATGCACACTACTTGGTTGGGGTCCGCATCACTATCTTAACTAATGGTTGGAGACTGTGTGTGACATGGCTTAGAATCTATGACTTAGGTGTATACACTTTCTGTCTTCCCTTAAATCGTGAGATTAAAATTTTTCACATCTTTCTTTCTACGAACTAATTCTTTCTACCTGTATTATACTTTTATATGCAATCTTTCTTCTATATATTACCACCATTGAAGTAAATACGTCTATGAATCGAGTGTTGATCTTGCTGTGCTAATGAGGTATGGCAACTTGAACCGATGTATATATGTGTCTGGTTCTATGTTGTAGCTGACTGATTGACTTTATGATTGATAAATCCTTCAATTCTAAAATTTCAATTACAAATTTAGAGCTGTTAAGTCAATCATAAAGATGGTCCTTATTTGAATCCAGGAAAATAATCAATACTGGAATCCAGGTACAATTAACGGATGAATTTGTAACAGAATTCTAGTGACCCGTGATCTGATTTCAATTAGATCATATGTTGATCTCTATTGAATGATTGACTCAATTACAGATATGCGGTGGGTAAGATAGGATAAGCACACACACACACAAAGTTAAGGTTGATAAGTGTATAATTAACAAGGTCAAAACGTGACTCAAGAAGAATGAATAAATTAACCTATCTGGAAGCTAGAATAAGGGATATGGGCTTAGCATAGCAACAGACACTACAGAATTAAGCACATCTTCTGAATTCCTAGCAAGCTTTGTCACCGTAAGCATCAATCCGCTCATATATTCAATCCTTCATTTAGACTTACCTTATTTATTTATTATATTTATTTTAACACATAAATATTGGTACAAGGAAGCACCAAACAGATATGAGCCACATAAATCATTCGATTTTTGTGAGGGCTGAGATACTGCACTGAGTGCTCAAGCCTAAGTAGGTGGTTTTCTTAGGGGCACACCTCGAGCGTTTGATCTAAAGGTCTGATCAACAAGGCAATGGACAAACGTCAGGAGATACAATCCGATGGTAACCGGTCACCGACAATTGGTTCATATGCCAATCGTCTTCTCAGAATCCTAGAGCCCATGTGCACCATTGGTTTGAAATCAGGGTTTTCCAACTCCCCTAGGTGAACTCTCCGTGTCCACCAACCTGGTTAAATCTCCGGAGATTCACTTTTCGCCCTCTCAATTTGGTAAAAAAAAACACCCGTGGTGCGAGAAGGCAATGAGTCGGACTTCCCTGTCAGTGGTTGTATGCACGTGAGAGCAGTTTTAGAAAGAGATCTGACTCTCATCACTCTCGTCTGTACCAGGGCATTTGGGAGCTAGACTTATTTGTTCAATGATTATGAAGTTCTTGTCATGCTAAGTATAAACTTAGTGGTGTTCGAAGCAATGCATATAAGTTTCAAGTTTCAATACTGATTCAAATACATTCAACTGGAGAATTTCAAACAGAACAAAACATACTTCTTAAATTCTATCACAATTTGAAATGAAGTGAACTTAACCAATTGTATCGTTTAACATTAAAAAACAAGATAATCTGAATCATTCGAATTCATATAATAATGAACTTACTTGATGAATTTCTTGTCTACCTTTATCATCGGTTACACCAAGTATAGCATGATCAAATAATAAACGTTGTATACATTCTGGTTGAATATCTTCTGAACAAGCATAATATAATGGTGTTAAATCATTTCTATCACGTACATTAGGATTTTGTCCCAATTCTAAAAATACCTTAATTATGAAAGAATAAGGAAAAAAAAATCTTTTTTTGATTAGTTGAAGTGTCAAACTATTTGTTCTTGTTATCACTTGTGGGCTTTGTGACCTTATCAGTATATCATGTGACGATACCTTCAATTAGAGAACTTTGATTTATCAACTGGACCAATGATATGTAAAACCAATGAGAACAGTTTAGAGTCCTTATCGGTTCTTCTTTCTGCCTAGCCATGCCTGCCTTTTAGAGTCCAGAATACCAAATTTAGCCTCTGAGATATGAATCATTATATTTCAAACATACTGGGTTAATATACCAACCAAAGAGACCACATCACACCATATAGTAGGGAACAACATTTGTACAGGTTCTAACCAAAAGTGGTTGTGAATGTGGGTGATAATAATTGATAGACTGAGTATAACTCAAGAATGGTAAGTCGTATAATAACAGCTCATAGATCAAAATGTATATTATTAGTCCAAAAACGGACTGCTACAGTTACCATTCATTATTCCCATCTGAACATAACACTTTTCAGTAGTATAATCAAATTGTGTTGAAATTAAACCGAAAAACATTTATCAATTATCTTGTAAGAAAAAATAATAATAAGTGTCAACCAAACGCTTTAAATAGAAGTTTTATACGATGAGTGAAATAGTTTTCCAATGTGTTTTTACATTTCACAAAGATTCTCCAGTTGATAACAGTTGGAAATGGAAGTCATTTACAAAAGAAAAAAACCTAACCTGGAAAAACATTGAATTTAATAGTTGAATTCATGAGTCGATTGATGATAGACTACCATGGAAAACCTGAAAGCACTGAACGGCTGCTTCATCTTAGTATGGGATTGCTAAGCAGTGCGCATCCACGATTTCGCCTCACCAGATCCGAACCCAGGATCTTTCAGTCTCGGATGCCTAACCTCTAAACTACTGAGCCGGCTGGCATCTATTAATGTTAATATCTAACTTGAACCAATCCACAAAGTTGCACCACCGTCCATCATTGTCATCAGTGAGCCAGGAATGTGGTGTGTGCTACAGAACTGGACAAATATAGGTAATATGGATCATCAATACAAATCAAGAGCGGCAAAGCAGCAGGACCAGACAACATTCCAGCAAAAGCACTGAAAGTAGGCGTAGCAAAGATACTCCACATTCTCTTCAGTAAGATTTGAGATGAAAAACAAATGCTTATAGACTGGAAAGAAGGACACCTGGTCAACGTAGCAAAAAAAGGCGATCTTAGCAAATGTGTAAACTACAGAGGCATCGCTCTTCTCTCAATACCAGGAAAAGTCTTCAGCAAGGTACTGTTAAAGATAATAAAAGACTCTGTAGACGCCCAGCTTCAAGATCAATAGACTGGATTCTGTATGGATCTATCGAGTACAGACCAAATCGCAACTCTACAGATCATTGTGGAACAATCAAATGAATGGAATTAATCAATCTACATCAACTTCATTGACTACGAGAAAACATTTGATAGCGTGGATAGGACAACTCTATGGAAGCTTCTTCGATACTACAGCGTCCCTGAGAAGATAGTTAATATCATACGTAATTCGTATGATGGATTAAACTGCAAAATCGTACATGGAGGACAGTTGCCAAACTCGTTCAAAGAAAAGGCTGGTGTCAGGCAAAGTTGCTTACTCTCATCCTATCTCTTCCTCCTGCTGATCGACTGGATTATGAAAACGTCAAAATTTTCAATACAAATATGAAGACAGTCCAACTCTATGGGACGGAACCTCGGAAAACTAACAAAGCAGATCATCCAGAATATACAAGTGTTTATTAACAGTTGTCTACGCAAAATACTTCGCATCCATCGGTCAGACACTATCAGTAACAACCTACCGTGGGAGAGAACAAACCAGATTAGAGAGGAGGAAGAAATCAAGAAGAATCGCCGGAAGTGGATAGGACACACACTGAAGAAAGCACTGAACTGTGTCACAAGACAGGCCATCACATGGAATCCTCAATGACAAAGGAGAAGAGGAAAACGAAAGAACGGATTACACCGAGAAATAGAGACAGACATAAAAAGAATAATGAACAACAAATGAACAGTACTAGAAAGGAAGGTCCAGTAGAGAGTGGGTTGTAGAATGTTGATCGACAATCGATGCTGTTCCATTTGGAGTAATAGGCGTAAGTAAGTAATGTATCATCAATCAAATGTGAAATGGTTGGTGGCAAAATGTTAAAAAGATTGAAGAAAAGAAAACGAAAACATACATTGATTGGTATGGAAATGTAGGAACAATCAAGTCGAAGATGATTGATTAATATTTTACAAATGAATTATTTACTGTATGATTCTCAGATTATATTAAGATGTTATGTAATTTTGTTTCTCACACTTATGTTCTCATTCATTACCATGTTAATTGATCATATTTAATGTTTATTTAGAAAAAAACTAATTAATGACAATCATTACAATTTACCTCAATAGCTTTTAAATTTCCATTGATTGCAGCTCTATGTAATGCAGTCATTGTATCTGAATCACGATAATCTAAATGTGCTCCAGCATTAACAAGTTGTAATATCATTTCACGTGGATCAGTTAATTCTGCTGCACAACCTAATGGGATTACTGTAAGTAACAAATGAAATCATATTTAGTCATAAGAATAATTATAGTTTGATTAAAGTTACTCACACACACACACACACACCATTCACTCACCCGCAATTATATAGTGGTATGTGAACAATACAGTTTATTATAAATAGAGCAACAACAAACATTGATGCAGAATAGTATGAATTCATATTATTTCGAGGTTTCTCGTCAGTTGCTTACAAACTAAAATTGTGATAGAATATTTTTTAACATGGAGATAGTGTGAAACAATTGACATAAATGAGTGTAAATAACTGGATTACAATATGCTAGAAACAGGTCAGAGGTCAAAAGAGGGGGGGTTAATCCAGGTTGGGTGGTGTAATAATTTAGTGAAGTTCATAAATTGTGTGACAATTGTAGAGATTAATGGAATTAAATAATGATAAGGTAGATTACGTAATAATAATTAAATAGAATTTGGAAAGTTAAGATAATTTAAGAGGATCAGGTGGTGGAAATGTGTGAATAAAATTTATTTTAAGAATTAGGTAATAGGGGAGGGAGTATAAAATATCTTAGAATAAGTAAATGAATAAAATAACCAAAACACAAAACAAACAGAAACAACGTCAAGTTCTTCGGAAGCATTGGGCGGCCGTTTCGTCCTAGAATGGGACTCCTCAGAAGTGCGCATTCACTACTAATTAAGACTAAATAAGGGTTATAAAACAGTTAGAATTGTCATTTACACTTGATGGTTAGGGTTAAAAATTAGATTTAGGCTTTTCATCAGCTACAATGCCAAAACTCTATTTAGTCAAATGTATGGATGAATTCTGCACCCGAATTCGTGACCCGTTATCTTATATCGGATTGGTTCATCTATAAATTATAGTCTTGCCAAAGCACACTTAAGAGATATATGACATAGGAGTTTAAATTATTAAGAGTCTACTGAATATGATCTGTTATTAGTAGTAGTAAGTAAATCGAAATGATTTGTCATTTCATTGGTTTCATCATTTTCTTTTTTTTTTTTGTTGTTGTTGTTCACCTTTAAAATTAGACCAATAAACTACATTTCTATGTTCAATGAAATAATTCTTTCATATATACAAACTTAACCAAGATTTTGCCTTTTAAGACATTCTATGATACATTGAATACTCATCATATAAAAAAGCCATTTAGATTCAGGTACATTCAAAAAATGAGTTGCAAATATGAAGAAGAAAACAAAAACATGATAATTTTGAATATTTAAACTGACAAACATATTTAAAATAAATGAAATATATTACTTATAAAAGAATATATTACCTCCACTAGATGGATATTGAAAATTTGGATCTAAACCTTGTTCTAATAAATCTGTAACACGTCCAATATCATTACGTTTTATGGCAGATAATAACCGCTTTTGATGATGCTTTAACAAAATATAAAACATAAGATAGACAGATAGATAGATAGATAGATAGATAGATGTGTGGATAGATAGATAGATAGATAGATAGATAGATAGATAGATAGATAGACAGATAGATAGATAGATAGATGTGTGGATAGATAGATAGATAGATAGATAGATAGATAGATAGATAGATAGATAGATAGATAGATAGATAGATAGATAGATAGATAGATAGGTAAATAGATAGATAGGTAAATAGATAGATAGATAGAGAGAGAGAGAGAGAGATAGGTAGATAGATAGATAGATAGATGATTAGTTGAATGTTTATATGCCATTAATCAAATAGTTAAACACTTTAAACTCTTGAGTATTATGAAATCCAATCAATTAAGTATATAACTTGTTTTTCCAATCCTTATTATGTGCCAAGATTCATATTTTATATTATTTAACATTAACTTTCATCTGAGTATAAAATTCATTATTAACTAGTTGACCCTAAAGTTGGCCAGGGTAAAGGGATCGGCCTAACAAATTTCTTTTGGATGCAAAGCTCTGGTTTTTTATTCGAATAGCAATTGCTTCAGCCGTCTGCAAAATTCTCAATCTGACGGAGTTAGGCAGACTGCTGTTAACACGACATATCATTATGAAACATTTCTCCGTGCCACTTCTCTCCATATCTATCAGTTCAACTGCTGCTGTAAAGTAAGCTATATTGTTAGATGTTCTAGCAATTTATATATTCAGGCTCATGAGCATCTCCCACTATGGTTAAACAAAGGTGTAGTTAAAAAGGTTAAAACAGCTCCATTTTAGTCCATTTAATTCAGATGAGATGAACAGCCAACATGAAGCATTCTTTCGTAATAATGTATCGTGTTAGCATCAGTCTATCTAATTTCGTGAAGCTGAGAATCCTGAAGACGGCTAAAGCAATTTCTATTCGGATCAAAAGTCTGAGCTTTGCATCCAAAAGAAATATGTTCAGCCGCTTCTTTCACCCTGGCGAAATTCAGGGCCAACTACTTAATAATCAATTTTATAATACGGTGACGTAATTTGAATAATTTTCATTTTTATATTCGCTTTATTGTTTTACTTGTATCTTCCCTTTGATGTTTAGGACTGCAATAGATCAGTCTCTAATTGGCATGTGTGAATCCAGTGAGGATTGCCTCGGTATTGCCTTAATTCACAAGCATTATAGACAAAGATGGATAGTGGCTAGTAGTGAAATACACTACGCGCGTTTCGTCTTATTTCGGACTCGTCAGATGGATGTACCTGAATTTAAAATTCATCCCCTTGTACAAGCAAATGGCTATCAAAACTTAATAGCTAAGTAGATAACGTGATAACACTAAAAGCGAACTGTAATAGGTTCGAGTCCCAGAATGAACATCAACTCCAAGATGGACGTACGTCCAGCTGACGAGTCCTAAATATGATGAAGTGGCTCATGTCCTGGATTTTACTACTAGACACTATCCACCTGTGCTTATAATTCAGTTTTATCCCCTAAACTCATCTTAACCTAATTACATTAAACATGAGTAATAGATTATATTGAGATAAATTTTACTTTCAAGGATATTTCAAGTTAATTATAATTTGGAAGTACTGGAAAACTGTTAAGTTTTAAAATCTACATTGATCACATTACACAAGATTAAATTCAAGAGAACAAGTTCTAACTAAGAACTCATTACTTGTTGATGATGAAATGAAAATCAATAATCTCTCAGTTGATAGTGATGGAAATCAATGAATAATTGACTGATCAATAGTAAAGTCTTAGATTATTATTAAGAAATTAATGCTAATCAAGATGTACTCCTTGGGTAAATACACATTCTGAAGTTTATAGTTTATTAGCTGAGTTGACTAGTTTGTTGCAGTGCTGTTCTATTTCGCCTTCGTAAACAATAAAACACTCATTTGTATATTCTTCTACGCATCAACGCTTATCACATGAATTTTAAATAAATTTATTATACAGCAGTCAATTAGTGATGTAAACACTTCGATTTCATTTGGTTGGTCACCATTGTAAACAAGTAGGTACTGAATATCTGTTCTATCTTATTCTAAAGCTCATCAGCTGTGCTCATCTAACCCAGATCATGTAGATCATACAGCAATCTTTAGACAGATAATTTGATACACAATTCTGTGTATGTTTATCTGTGATCAGTTTGCGATATTGCATGACAGATTTTCCTTGCCCAAGGTAGATAACTGTCTAACACCCAACATGGCTGAGCTCTACTATTTACAATTTCACACTAAAATTCTCGGAACTGTATTTGAAAGTTGTTGTCAAATGAGTACAAGACTGTTATTAGTGAAAGAGATTTAATTGATAAACTTTCCTAGTTTAAATTGGTTGAAGTTAGCCGGACGATAACTCAGTTACTTAGAGGTTCTGAGTAATCAAGAAACCAAATTTCGTGGGTTCGATTCTCTGTGATAAGGTCATGGATTAGTACTATAGTGAAATCCCATATCAAGAAGTAATATCTATTCAGTGGTTCCTGGTTTCTAGAGGTGGTGTAATCAAGATCAGTCTATAATTTAAAATAATAAAATTTATTGATTCAGATCATGAACCGATTGGTGCAAGACCACCACTGAAAACCTGGAAGCACTGGACGGCCGTTTCGTTCTATTGTAGGACTCCTCCATAGCAGTGCACATCCATGATCCCGCATTGAGGGAGTCAGACCCAGAGCCTTCGGTCTCAAGCATGAGCGCTTAACACATTATAATATTTAACTTTTGATGAATGAAAACATGTTCAAATCTAATGTCATTTGTTCATTATAGCTTATTAAATGTATGATAAATGAATTTACTTTAGAATGAATTCGTTTAGTTGTTGATTTGGATCCTTCTAGACGATATTCTTCAACAAAACGAATTTTTGGTAGAAGCTATTCATAAAAGAATATCAAAATATACATTAACTCATCATTAAATAATTTGAATAAGAAAATTAGGAAAAATTAATTTAAACATAACTGGAGGTTGGAGTCTCAAAGTGAACATCAACTTTGTGATGTAGATACATTCAGCTGACAAGTCTCAAAGTGGGACGAGACACATATCCTAGATTCCACTGCTAGTCATCATGCATCTGTGATGGTGGAGAAGATTTGTAGCTCAGGTGGATGATTTTGGTGGAGTTTTGTTCTCTGAGCTATATATATATATATATATATATAACTCCACCTGAAGCTCCTCTGGGGCTACAGCCGGTTCCAAACCTGGATAAAGGAGGAGGATTGGGCACGGGGTTAGCGACCCTATCCTGTAGAAAACTAACTCGCTAAAAAAACGCTAACCATATATATTTATAATGTGGTGTATGTTACTTATGTTGATAAACATAAGTAGTATGTAGTAGCAATCGAAAGTGAAATACCTTCTAGTAGATGATTAAGAAGATTGAAGTGTAGAGAGAATAGAAAGGAAAGAATAGAGTAATTGTAAGAACAATCAAATTGAAATAATCATAAGTTATGTAAAGGATAAATGAAGAAAGATATGCATATAATGTATTCAATGTATGATTTTCATATTTTAGGAAAACACTCTGTAGTTTTACCTTAAACAGTAAATTGGTTATTCCTATGAACTCATCTTTCACTATAATACCACATGTATATTCTCATTGTAGATGTTAAAGACTAAATCTAATCTTTATTGATGTACTGATCTAGTTTCAATGTGAATTCTAATATTTGGAAGCTAGACATCCTATCCCATACACAGGAACAAATGCAGATGAAAACAAATAGTGTAGTAGAAGCTTCTGTATCCGTAAGCCTCAATGTACAAAGGAAAAAGAATGATCCCCAAATACAACAGAGAGAACATCAACCCAATCACACTTAATGGAGAAGCTCTGGAAGATGTGGAATCTTCTAATTACCTGGGAAGCGTCATCGATTAACAAGGAGGATAAGATGCAGACGTAAAGGCGAGGGTTGAAAAACCAAGGGTCACATTCTCACAACTGAAGAACATATGGAACTTAAAACAACTGTCAACCAATATCAAAGTCAGAATCTTCAACGTCAAAACAGTTCTCCTGTACGGAGCTGAAACTTTGTGAACTACAACAACCATCATCAAGAAGGTACAAGTATTTATAAATAGTTGTCTTCGCAAGATACTCAACATCCATTGGTGGGATACCATCGACAGCAGCCTACTGTGGGAGAGAACAAACCAACTTCCAGCTGAAAAAACAATTAGTAAAACACGATGGAAATGAATTGGACATACATTACAAAAACTATCGAACTGTACTACAAGGCAAGCCCTAACTTGGAATCATGAAATAAAACGGAAAAGAGGAAAGCTGAAGAACATAATGCGTCTAGAATTGGAAGCAGAAATGAAAAGGATGAATAGCAACTGGAAAGGATTGCACAGGACAGGGTTGGATGGAAAATACTGGTGAGCGGCCTATTCTCTCTCACGATGAGTAACAAGCGTAAGTAAGTAAGTAGGTAAGTAGGTAGGCAGGTAAGCAAGTAAGTAAGTATATCCAGATATCAGATTTCAAATGAGACAAAACATACATCTCAAACGCTAATACAAACTATATATATATAATTTCACAGATTGAAATCATGAGTCAGTTGAAGCTAGACCACCATTGTAAACCTGGAAGCACTGGACGGCCGTTCCGTCCTAGTATGGGACCCCTCAGCAGTGCGCATCCACGACCCCACACCACCCGGGGCTCGAACCCAGGACCTACTGGCTTCGCGCGCGAGCACTTAACCATTAGACCACTGAGCCGGCGTCCAACGGTGTTAATGTCTAACTTCAACCAATCCACGAAGTTGCGCTACCGTACACCATTGTCCTCAGTGAGTTCCTATCTCACAACAGACCTAGCTTCAACTGACTCATGATTTCAATCTGTGAAATTTCTAAAATCTCCACAAAACCCATTCTGATATATTTATATAAATTGATTAAATTACCTCTAATACAACAGGTTCTTTAGATTTTTTATCATTCATTAATCCATTTGATTCTATTTCATGTAATAATTGATTATCATTATATGGATTTAATTTCATAGCAACTAATTGTGGATATTCTGATATAATTCGTTCATCTTGTAAAAATTTGCCTTTTTTCCCACTTTCTGGTGGTAAATATAAACCATAATTAATAAAATCTAATTCTTTTAAATTGTATGTTTCAATTGCTTGTTTTCTTAATTCACCAATTAATATATCTGTACGAACTTTGAATATGTACTGAAATATTTAAAAAATATATTTATTTATGTTACTATGCAAATGAAACAGTTTTATAGGTAATAAGATACTGATATTGATCTTATGCTTAATTAGTATCAATTAATTGTAACTGATCGATCAAATGATGAAACTATAATGTTTGGATGACCATTGAGTGGCACTCAAGTGACCTTGAGAGTGTCCACTTAATAACTAGGATCAAATGAAGGTTATAATATAGTGTAAGGAAATAGAAGGGTTAGGAATTAGATTTAAGGGTTTTCATTATGAACTGACATCATCTATAATGTTAAAACTCTATTTACCGAAATAGACAAATGAAGTTCATGTCAAAATCCGAGACTTTTTATCTTATACTTGATTGGTTCGTCCATAAATTATAATCTGGCCGATCAAAATTTATTACTAGATTATCCTACGACATGATGTGAACTGCTTCACGTAATTTTGAAGTATTGTGGTGTAACCTACTTTATATTCACATAAGTAGTTTATAACGATAGTCAAGAATAGAATGTATTTCAGTAGAAGATCGAAAAGGAAACAACGGAAACAGGAAGCAATTGGTATGAAAATGCAGGAACAATCAAATCTGAGATGATGGATTGATATTTACAAGAGAAACAGTCAAGTTAGAGACAAATCATTAACATTCTACACATTAAGTATTCATTGTATGGTTCTCAGACTTTAGTGAGATGTTCTGTAATTTCGTGTTCGAATACATTCGATTGTCCCCACCTGTGGGTTTTTTCATTACAGTACCCTCTTCTCTGAATTATGTATACAATCAGCCAGACCAATTATCACCATCTTTTCACGTGTATATATTTGGGTCTTTTGGTTAGAAGACACTTGCCAGTATTTCTCGATTCCATCGTATCCATTCTATCTTCATGCATGTATATATGACTTAGATCTTTTTGATTAGTTAAAAATATATTGATTTGAATTACGCTAAGTTGTTATGTGTTTGTAAGTAACTTCATTTTATTGCATTCAGAATTCAGAATTACTGACCAAATAAACTGTTACTGAAATCCAAGGTGAGTAAATGACAAACATAGAAGTAATTTGTCATTTGTATCACGAATTTAATTTAGCCAAACAATCACTAAAAACCACAAAGAACTTTAATTTTATTTTATCCTTTTCAACAATGCAAGCACACACATACACTCTATCTAACCGAGGAACTTGCGATATTGCAATCAGTGTAGAATAATGAGTATATCATCCAGTTTTATCTATAAACATAAACTACATCTGGAACGCTTAACTAATCGCTACGTCTATGAAGACTGATACTATTAATTAGCACTTTAAATATCAACTGTATATTCAATTTAGAGATGAATCAATCGTTTGAAATGATAAGTTATTTTAATTGAAATATATTGCTTACTTATAAGTAGGTCAACAATTTAACTTAAATTTTCCGAGAGCCAACGTATGTTGTAATATCAGAAATATTTGTGAACTAAATTTTATACATGAACTTAAAGATAGGTACCTGTATTTATTCCTAGGGTCACTTTATTAATGATTGATCGAACTATGGCTCAATTTGATTATCTACGTTTAACTAACTAACTAACAAATCGATTAATTAATTACTTATTAAGTTCAATAATTCGATAAATTAAAATCATAATTCATCATATTAAATAATAATGGAAAGAAATAATTCTGTGTATTGAAATTATGCCATCCTATTATCTACTTAGTACTTCTAGTGATAAATCATTCACCATGATCTCTAGTTGGGTAGTGGTTGGTTACTGTTAAGAAGTTTAATATGAGGGATAATACACGTGTTTCATGATCCATCGCTTTTAATGATACCTCCTCCCCACACTGAGATCAATATTTGATGTATGAAACCTCTGTTGGAATCTGTTGAAAAAAATAATTCACTCCGTCGAGTTACATGTAATCTTCTCAACCAAACTAGAACTTGCACAACAAATGAAAAACAGGTTACTGATGATGAGCTCTTCCATGTGTATTTACGAATTCAATTGTTCCTGTGGAGCTAGTTATGTAGGCCGTACTCAGATGGTTTTATCTTTACTTACATATGAAGATGTACCAGCATGACTGGATAAAGGAGTCATGAAATCTATCAACAGCGTCATCATTTCACATTCGATATATAGGGAACATCATATTAAAATAAATGAAACTTGCTCTGTTTTGTAAGAAGTTTGAAATGATTTACATAAAGGAACTAGATTACGACTTTTATACATAGCTGAAGTCATCTGCATCAACTTCAGAAGACCGAACTTAAGTAACCGAAAGAGGTATATCCAGCCTCTATGGTCCACAACTGGATCATCAAACACCAAAACTGGATATTATAAACCTCTTATCCTTCACCCAATTTTCATTTGTGTTTATATCGTTCTTAATCTACATATTAATCTTTCCCAATTCACATAACTTATTGTTATCTCCATAAACATGATGGGATTCGCCAACTGTGCATTTTATTCACATTATTTATTGCTTTACTGTTACATTGATTACAGCTTGACACTTTATTACCAATCATTCTGATCTTTGTTAAATGACCTTCCTTTAAAACGTTTGAGCCAGATTATCAGGCGATTTACTTCTAATTCATTCACTGAGATTTTACAAACACATTCTTCCGCTTTAACATTTCACATCAACTCGGTGCCTAATTACTGTGAAACAAACGAATCATTTTTAAACGAAAGTTTTTAAATAAGCTTTCTAGTTTACAAATAACCAAATTTTGGCATCAGACGTAATTCCTGTAGTTCTAGTGAGAAGCCTTGATCAATGGAGTTCAACCATGTCTGTTACAAAACAGTGACTTGCTGAAGACAGTGGCGAACGGTGGCGAGATTTCGTGTATAGATTAAATTTAGACATTATCACCATTAGATTTTGGCTATATGGTCTAGAGGTTAACCATTCGCGCGTGAAACTGATAGATCCTGGATTGGAATCTCGAGAGCGGAATCATGGATGCGCACTGCTGACGAGTCCCATACTACGACAACACAGATGTACACCTATCTGGTACTTCTTTTTTAATAGTTAAAAACATTAGTCAATGAAAGCTAGATTATCATGAAAAACCTAGAAGTATTGGACAACGTTTTCGTTCTAGCATAAGACACTTCATAAGTACGCATCTACGATCTCACCTCATGAGATATGTTGAACCTAGGACCTATCCGTCTCACATGTGTGAACACTTAACCTCTAGACAACTAAGATGAGTGGTATTCAACGATGTGAATATCTAACTTCAATCAATTCACGAAATTGCATCATCATCTAACATTGAATTTCAGTAACATTTTACACATAGATTAATTTGTGATAAATCTACTCTACATTACAGTATAGATTAGAATCTATGCTGTAATGAATAGATTTATTTAATATTTAATCATTGACATTTAAATAAAAAGTCAATTATTTACGAACACATGATAATATGTACATGTTAAAATAATGGAATGAATAGAGGAATTACATAGTATGATAATAACCATGTATTTTAGGTAATTATGACAGTTCATAATAAGTTAATAGGTCCACTACTATTATTATTATTATTATTATTATTATTATTATTATTATTAGTAGTAGTAGTAGTAGTAGTAGTAGTAGTAGTAGTAGTAGTAGTAGTAGTAGCAATTCAAATAATTAAAGGTCATTTAGGTTATTTAGTGTAAATAAATGATTCATTGTATTAATTATACTTTTTCAGATTTATTCTTTCAGTGAGGTCTTGTAATTTATATGAGTATTCTGTAATGAAATGTCTATTAAAAAAAAGAAAAGTATGCTGCATTACAGTTTGTTCTGTTCTACTTTACAGATTCGAAACATGACCATTAAGAGTAGAAGTATTTGATCACAGATGTTTTCGGAATATTGCTTGCATCTGCTGCGATCATCGGGTAAGTAATAGTGAGGTCAGATGTTGGGTATTAGGGAATGATGGTAAATCAATTGATGAGGTTGTGAATTCTTATGAATTGAGATAGTTGGGACACGTGTCACGTATGCCTGAACACCGATTACTACGACGCGCAATGCTGACTAGTGTTGAGGATGGTTGGAAGATAGTTGAGGGCGACCAAACCAAAATGTGGAATCAGTGTTTGAATTCACTAACTTCTAGTCTGAGCCATGTTGGTAGATGCAGATTACTTGGTTGGGGTCCGCGTGACTTTCTTAACCAATGGTTGGAGACTCTTGGTGACATGGCTCAGAATCGATCACAATGATGTAGTTGTATACACTCTCTTTCGTTCTTTAAACTAAGAGATTAAGATCGCTTCATATCTTTCTTTCTACCAACTAATTCTTTCCTCCTGTACTATATCCTTATATGCAATCTTTCTTTTATATATTACCACCACTGAAGTAACTAATTCTATGAATTCGGTGTTCATCTTGTTATGCTGATGTGATGTGGCAATTTAGATCGATGCATATATATGCCTGTTCCTATGTTCTAGCTGATTGACTGACTAACTGACTGATGTGTATTTGTGTGTTTAGGAACATTTTTATAAGTAACTAATGTTCAAAACTCAATCATTTTTATGATTGTTATAATCAAAATAAATACTCTGTTTTGATTTGAATATTGAACAAATAGAGATCAAGTGACAATAGATTATAATCTTTAAGACATTATGGAATTTTATTGTAAATAGTGTATGAAAACTGCTGATTTTTGTAATTTGATTCTAGTATCATAATAGTTAAATAATAACTGAATAAAAAAAAGCAAGAAGCGCTGGAGAATTATTTCGTTTATACAATTGATTAATCCTTGGATAGTGATCAATACTATGTATGTCAAGTCCTTCTTAGTGCAGATTGAATTTTATCGACCAAGTTGCAATGTGATCACTAGTCTAAGTAACTCGACATCTTTAGACACGGGATCAAATCCGTTAGAGAGCATCAATTCCTTCAACATGACAGGTATACCTTGC